GTATCCGCTCCGAAACCCAGCCTGCTCCGGTGGTTGGAATTCGTCAAGTCTTCGCGCAAGGCGGTTCGTGATCACTCTCGAGAACAGCTTATAGACGTGGCTTAAAAGGGAAATGGGTCGATAATTCTTCAGTAGGGTTTTGTCACCCTTTTTGAAGAATAAGACGACCACACTCCGACTCCACGCCTCTGGAGTTCTCCCTTCAAACAGGACAGCGTTAAATAGCTTTTGCAGCTCCCTGAGTACCGGTTTGCTGCCTGCTTTTAGAAGCTCTGTCGTAACGCCATCCTCTCCAGGGGCTTTTCCATTTTTAAGCTGTCCAAGAGCGATCTCGATTTCGTCAATGCTGACTTCTGGCAGGTCTTCGGTGTAATGGCGTATTAAAGTGGCTCTAGAGTCCTCATTTCCGGGGTCAGGTCGAGATGCATGCGAAGCGTATAACCGGCCGTAGAAGTTTTCTACTTCCGAAAGAACTGCCGGCTTCGAGACAACGACTTCTCCACTTGCTGTGGTCAACTTCGTCAGGTGGCTTCTTCCAAGAGATTGTACGAACACTTTTGGCCCCCGGTTTTGCTCGATCGCTCTCTCGATTGCATGGGTATTCGAGCACCGGAGATCGTGTCGCACGTGTTTGCTAATCTCTCGGTTTAGAGCCCGCTTCTCTGACGAAGTGACGGGTGGGTTTTCACGTCGTCTCTTCATAAGCCCTAAAGTCTCTTCCGAAAGCTTCGACTTCCTGCCCTTACGCTGCATTTCACAAAATCTCGTACCTTCTTCCCTGAGAACTCGAACCACGTTTTCAAGGTTCCGGTTAACGTCGGTTGTGGTTTCCAGGGCAGCAAATCGGTTCTCCAGGTTTAACTGAAACGCTTCAGATCCCATTTTGATTTGAAACAGGGTTGGTCGGAGCCTGGCCTTCATCAAGCGGACTCGTTCGGCTCTGAAGTCGATATTCAGAGAGCCTCGGACGAGTCGGTGATCGCTACCGGTATTAAACCTATTAATCACGGAGACGTCTCTGAATATGTGCCTTTTGTCCGCCATGATGAAGTCGATCTCGTTCTTTGTCATAGTGTCGGGGCTTTGCCACGTCCACTTCCTTTGGGGCTGCTTCTTAAAGAATGAATTCATTAAGAACATCCCCTCCCGTTCGAGGAAATTGACGAGCATTTGCCCCCTATGATTCCTGTTTCCATACCCATGGGATCCTACTACCGATTCACTGCAATTTTGTACTCCCACTTTGGCGTTAAAGTCCCCCATAACAATGCTGAAGTGAGTCCTAGTGGTGGAGTGGAGGGCCCTCGATATATCATCGAACATCTCCTCCACCTCATCATCGGAGTGTGCCGAGGTCGGTGCGTACACTTGGACCACCTTAAGGCTATACCTCTCGGTGAGCTTTATAATGAGGTACGCCACCCTGTTCGACACACTCGACATTTCCACAACATTGTTAGATAGGGACTTGTTAACCAGAAACCCAACGCCACCTTGGGATTTTTGGTCTCCCTCACGGAAGTACATCAGGTGGCCTGATTTGAGAGTTATCGTGTCCTCCCCCTCTCTTCGGACTTCACATAACCCTAGTATGTGCCACCTGATCTTCCCAAGTTCCACCTCTAGTTGCGCTAGATGCGAGTCAAGCCGTAGCGTGCGTCCGTTGTACGTCGCCAGGGTCAGTCTGTTGTGGTGGCCTCCCGTAGCCCGGAGATTCTTAGCACCCCCTACCCCACCGTTACCATGGTCGCCACCATGACCAGGAATAGTGGGGCTGCCGGGAACTGGGGGCCGTGGCCTTCGTTTTTTGCCCATAGGAGGTATTGCCCATAATCGCCACGCTGGGCAGGCGGGTTGGCGATCGCAGGGCGAAACTTTTCGCACCGGTAACGCTGCTGCCCGTCACCGGCCCGCGGTACTTAATTTCGCCTGTTTGTAAGGGACGGATATACCGCCGTCGGTCGGTCGCCAGAGCCTCGTTCGTTGACCAGCAGGATGCACCGCGTGCAGGTGAGGTTGGCTTGGGGCGAAAGATGGAAGTTCGCCCCCTTACATTCTTGGTTCGGGCAACTCTTGGTTGCGTTTAATACCTATTTCGCTTGGCCTACACGCCCTTAAGGCGCTCGGGGTTTGAAACCTGACTAGTACCAATGAATGTGACTTTTGCCGAGCTATATGTACTTGCCATAATTATTTTGATACCTCTGACATCAGGTAAAGGAAAACTTCATGTGTAAACTTGGACTTATAAGTTCAAAATCACCAATCCGCATTAAGCAAGCATTATGATTTGACCTTTTCCGTATGAAGATAAGTCTTTTCTCAGCCGTGGGCACACTTATAGGCTGATGATTATGATGATTCCTCAATTCTAGATTTCTGAAGGTCAACAATAAGTCACGTGGTCAACACTTCAACAATCGTAGCTATGGCATTGAAAACAATTCAAAGTTTAGGTATTACTTACAAGACTAGCGACCCACACTAACTTAGCACGGGTGCAATACTAATACTAAATTTCTCCACTAATCAATGAATATCTACATATACACCTTCCTCTTTTTAATCACTGTATCTGTTAAAAATCGCATTACCAAATCCGTTACGTACCTAGTTGGAAAAATATAGCCATACATAGCGAAATAGAGACAGAGAAAACTAGTAATATTAATGTAACTAGTAATATTTCAAACAAAATTTTGTGTTATTTAAACTTCATAACGAACTACAAGCAGCCATTTTGTGAACGGACAAATACGATGCAAATCTGATTAGCTTGCGTTCCGGCAGACTAGCCGGAAATAATTGGTTCAAACCGGTTTGATCCGGATCATTCTAGTGATCTAGTCGCTAAACTGATGGAACTAAAACCTACCAGCCTCAAATTGTCAACTTTGTGAAATAGATTTTCAATTCTATCATCGAAATGATAAGGTTAAGAATGCATTAAAAGTTAGGACAACTCTGTAGTAGGTACTGTAGATTTATGTAACTTTTTAATGGAAGCAAGTTAACTTACCTTGTCCAGGTTTTCTCATTGGATTCATCATCATCATCATCGTCACTAGCCTATAAGCACCTTACTGCCGCCAGGGAGGGAAGTGCAAGCTCAATAGGTCGTGTTTACGCAAAAAGGAACCAACCCTGAAAGTGTCACTTTTGAGATATTGACGTTTAAAGTTTAAATGGTCGTTGCCCATTGATAATTTAGTTTGTGATTTTGTTGATTTGGAAATTGATTCAAGTCGATCGGATTCATAAATTATTAATAATTATTTAATAATTATTTTATTTAATAATTTAATAATTATTTAATAATTATTTTATTTAATAATTTAATAATTATTTAATAATTATTTTATTTAATAATTTAATAATTATTTATAAATTGGGTAGTTTCCTAGGTCGAAAATAAATTAATTCGATGTTTCTATACAATAAAATATTGAAAAATAACTATAGGTAGGTTAATTTTTATTCATCGATCGATCGATACACACACATTTTAGATATTTTTAACTATTTTTTTTAAAAGAAGTACTTAAACTATTTGATGCAAAAATCTATGACGTCATAACTCAGTTTTCCATAAAAAATATAGTTTTTGATATTTTTTGTTGACTGGCTTCAATATCGTATGATTTATTTATAGTAATCCAAATAGGTCCAATAATGTGCCGCGGCCGAAGCCCAAAGCAAGAGAAGGAGTGGAGTGTTTTTTAGTCAGTAAGGGTGCAGTTCCATTGATGCGGAGCGGAGCAGAGCAGAGACCTGTGCCGCGATTCACCAATCACATGGCTTGAAAGCAAGGGGCATCTCTAAGAGATGTGGATTTCAAGTCATGTAATTGGTAAATCGCGGCACAGTTCTTCTCCGCTCTGCTCTGCTCCGCCTCAATGGAACTGCACCCTAAGACTCTGGCACTTGACTAGCGTGACACAAGGCCGGAGAAGTCATTGGATGACCCTTTCCCTCCCACCGCCCCTAGCAAAAAAGCGGTCAACAAAAGTGTGTTTTCATTAAGTACGGTACCTAACGTGTTTTAATTTTTCCTTGGTTGGTTAACTGAAGAACTGACTGCAAGTCTCCTTCAATTCCCGCGCGTAATATCTACATGATGTGTTCTAATATCGATGCAATCAAATTAAAAAAGAAACGGTAACTTTAATTCGTTGATTTTAGGATATACCTACTTAAACATCCATATTTTTCTAGCATTATTTTTCAATGAGAATGCTTGTTCACTTACGTCCGATTCCTATAATTGAGAAACGATCCGTTTTAATTACGAATAGTAGTTTTATATACGACTCGTAAGCTAAAACCGTTCCTATAATAAACGTCTCGTCGTGCAACTTACTGACTGTTTGCAACTAACGGATATCGGTAAGCGAATTGTATGGAGATATATGGTGTCTGTGGTTTTCCTATAAATATTTTAACTGTCAGTAGACGGTCAAGATAACTATTCGTAATGTCATTTGGTCGTAATGCGTATACAACGACGATTCGTTAAATATAGGAACCGGGCATTAGGCAATGAAATAAACGTCAGAACACACCACTCCAGATATTTTTTTTGAAAATGTCAATTGAATAAAAGAATTCGAAACGCTTTAGTGGATTTGACTAGCTATTACTAGCTACTCGCCAAAATTGTTGTTCCTATAAGAAAATTCGTTTATAAATACTTACACCTAAGACACTAATATCCTAGTAACAAGGTAGGTTAAAAAATCAGGAACGGAGGTGTAAACAAACAATTTTATTGACACAAGTTGGGAGATTATTCTGAAAGTTGGTAACCCAAACACAATGATGTTTTGTCATAATTTATATAATTTAACAACAGAAGTTACTTATAACAATAATTAAATACCCTTGGACCCTGTTCCCGATACCGGTGGGACACTATTTTTTATATTTTTAAATGTTTTTTATATTTATTTTTAAGAAATGTTTAAAAATATAATTTATATGTTTATATGATAAATAAAGAAAATTAAATACAATAACTATACTCAGTAATTGCAATTTAAACATACATTATAACATTTTTTATTTCTACTTATTTACAAAGTGACTGGGCCAAGGCGAATACACTAGGTACTTAATATGAAAAACAGAATAAAAATAAATAACCCTAATGATCTTAGTCTAATTTAACACTATATTTCCAAATTTATTTATTATTCTACATTTGACTCAAAACATGATCACACCTAACGCACTTATCGCTATCATCTGTTACATTATATTTTCTACATCTCAAACATTGCCCTTTTTTACTCTGTAACAACTCAACGAGCGAATTATTCCCGCCATTTTTAACTGTCAAATTAACAGCTGATACTTCTAAAATCTCACATAAAACACTATCGTTATCACCATCGCTCTTATTTAAACCACTTAAACTATCATAAATATCAGAATTTAAAACAATGTTAGCTTCAAACTTTTTTAAATTCTCATTTTTAGCTAGAACACATATTTCCCTTTTCAAATCTAAGATGGCTTCCATTAATGACGTATCGACGTTATTTGGCGGCAAAATTGACAATTCCTCGGTAAAATAAAAAGGTTTATCGTACAACGGATGATATTGCCAAACTTCTTCGATAAGATGTGGCAAAATGGGTCCTAAAGCTTTGCATAGAGATACTAGAATTGTGTGTACTACTAACTGAGCTGAAAGTCGTTCGTCGGAATATTTTTGGGAGCAATATAACCTATCTTTGATGCAATGACAATACAACGCTGACACTTTATTACTAATAAAATGTAATATACTCTGTGCTACATGATTGTATCTAAAATTGTTGTAATGATCGTTTATTTGGTTCACAAATATCTCTGATTCTTTCACCATGTAACTATCAAAGTAGTTCAGGGTTGGGTCTTTTGTGAAATCTGTTTTTTGTACGTCGGAAACTACGCCTAGAAGGTACTTCATGATGTTCCTTATTCTGATTAGTTCTGCTTGGCAGTCGTCGAGGAGTTTCTTACTGACTACGATTTGGGAATGCTGCGTCGAATGGCTTGCTACCCACCATCTGCAAAACAGAAGAATTTATGATGATTATTTCATTGACTGCCTTATTTTTCGTGGTCGCAAGTGGGACTGTCAAGCAGGTGGTTCCAGCTTCGATCAAATGATTATTGGGGTGTTTTTAGATTTTCTAAAATGTTCAGTATAAGCACATATGGCAATAAGCTCGCCCCTGTTACATGGGATGCATAGACAAAACTTAGGTTATAAAAAACTATGACGTCACAGCGTGCTATTTAGTATAAAATTAATACAAAAAAGTTAGTTTTAACTTTTCGAAAAAAAAAATGAATTAGTTGATATCTACACTATTGAAACAATTTATTTATTTTTGCAAGAAGGCAAAAATAAATACTTGTATAACAGCGGCTTTTCACGTCAAAAATATGTACTTAGATGAAATCGGCTTTTCCTACCTGACTACTAGACCAGTGTTATGAGAACTCAAAAAAAACAGATTAAATTAACCAAAAATCGCGGGTTACTTACGTGTGTAAATTGAGAAAAGCTCTACTAGTTTCGAACCACAGAGGGGTTCTTCCTCATGAGCAGCGTGCGCGGACGCGGCGACGTCGCGCAGCCTACGCTTTCTAAATTTATACACCCGTGAGTAACCCGCGATTTTTAGTTAATTTAGTATGTCTCACGATAATTATTATAAAACAAAAAACTAGATTGTTTGCTTTTTTAATTATTACTAGCTACTCCCGCGCGGTTTCACTCGCTGCTCGGCTTCATTTGATTGTAGCGTGATGTTTTATAGCCTATAACACTCGGGAACATTGTAGCTATCAATAAGTGAAAGAATTTTGGGAATCCGACCAGTAGTTCAAAAGATTACCTCCTACATACAAACTTACAAATTTTACATCTTTATAATATTAGTATAGATGTGAACTTACCTAAGAGTATCAATCCCATAAGCCGGTTGGTTAGATCCCTTACCGCCCTGTATGATGGTAATGGGGTCAATCACGTTGCCAATAGACTTGGACATCTTACGTTTCTTGTCGTCAACTACGAAGCCGTGGACGAATATTGACCTGGAAAATAGATAGGAAATATAATGACTGACGGATTACCTGATGGTAAGCAATCAACGCCCATGGACACCATCAACAAGAGAGGAGTTACGAGTGCGTTGCCGGCCTTTTGGAGATAAGGGTGTCGTATATTTAGGGATTGGGAAGAGAAGAGTTATTCGCATTATTTTTTAGAGCTCTGAAGTGACTTGGAAATGGACGAGCAACCAGCGCAGTTTACATAAATAAGCCGCAAAAAGATTTTATATTTTTTAATATTTTCTTTTTGAAAAAAAACTACAATTCATTTGAGGTGAATCAGCGACGTCGCTCAGCCAACTGACGCGTACGCTGCTCATGAATAAGAGTCCCGTTGTGACTTGAAACTAGTTGAGCTTTTCTCAATTAATTCATATAAGTAAGTCGTTATCTATCTATATATATATAAAAGAAAGTCGCGTAAGTTACACTATCTATAACCCAAGAACTGCTGAACCGATTTTTACTGGAATTGGTAGGGAGGTAGCTAAGAACTGAGAGGACATTGGATAAGGTAGAGTAGGTAAGGTAGGATAGGTAGTATACAGTAGAGTAGGATAGGTTAGAAAAGGCAGGGTGGGGTAGGTGAGGAAAGGTAGAGTATAGTTCGTTCCATAATTAGAGACAACAATTTGACAACAGCAAATGTCAAACTACAAAATAATGTGGCCAGATTTTTTAACATAGTGATGGGCCCGAGTACGATGTTTTAAATAAAATACCGATACCGTTTTTTTGTAAAATACCCTGAGCAAAATAAAACAGCTGCGGTGATGTTTTTTATAGCTAAATCGAATTAATAATAATAATTTAAAATAAAAATGCGAAATCCAAAACTAAAAGAAAAAGATTATATTTGAGGAATCTATGCTGAAAGCAGAGCTGTTGGAAATTTCCCGTAAAGAGAAAAGTAATTATGAACGATACGTCGTGGACTGATGGCTGCTAAAAGGGGTATCACTATTTTACGGTTGCCTCCTTACCATTGTGATTTTAACCCGACTGAGTTAGCATGGGCACAGGAAGGTACCAGGGAAAGTAGCTAAAAATAATAAAGCTTTTAAATTGTACAAAGTCCAGAATTTAATTTCGGTCTTTCGGTCAATACCGGTCGCAGGACTTCACTATTTATGAAATGGAAAAAACTAGCAACACTCGAAATGTCAAATGGTTGTCTCTAATTATGGAACGAACTAGGGTAGGTAAGGTAGGATAGGTAAGGTAGGGTAGGTAAGGTAGGGTAGGTAAGGTAGGGTAGGTAAGGTAGGGTAGGTAAGGTAGGGTAGGTAAGGTAGGGTAGGTAAGGTAGGGTAGGTAAGGTAGGGTTGGTAAGGTAGGGTAGGTAAGGTAGGGTAGGTAAGGTAGGGTAGGTAAGGTAGGGTAGGTAAGGTAGGGTAGGTAAGGTAGGGTAGGTAAGGTAGGGTAGGTAAGGTAGGGTAGGTAAGGTAGGGTAGGTAAGGTAGGGTAGGTAAGGTAGGGTAGGTAAGGTAGGGTAGGTAAGGTAGGATAGGTAAGGTAGGGTAGGTAAGGTGGGGTAGGTAAGGTAGGGTAGGTAAGGTAGGGTAGGTAAGGTAGGGTAGGTAAGGTAGGGTAGGTAAGGTAGGGTAGGTAAGGTAGGGTAGGGTAGGTAAGGTAGGTAAGGTAGGGTAGTTAAGGTAGGGTAGGTAAGGTAGGGTAGGTAAGGTAGGGTAGGTAAGGTAGGGTAGGTAAGGTAGGGTAGGTAAGGTAGGGTAGGTAATGTAGGGTAGGGTAGGTAAGGTAGGGAAGGTAAGGTAGGGTAGGTAAGGTAGGGTAGGTAAGGTAGGGTAGGTAAGGTAGGGTAGGTAAGGTAGGGTAGGTAGAGTAGTGTAGGATGAAAAGTGTAGGTATAGTGCGGCCGACGTATGTTTGCGAGTCTGAAGTTAGCCGTTTGTCTGCGCAATGGATCTTTTAGGAACAAAATTGTTTACTGCGCAGCTAATCGGCTAACTTCAGACTCGCCAAGATACGTCGGCCGCACTGTAGGTAACTCAATTGGGTAGTGTATGTAGTCAAATGACATGACAATGAGGGTAAGAGCTAGTTTACAATAAATAACTCACTTATAAGGCGCTTCTCCAGTCAACGCCAATGATGTAAGCAGAGAAGCTTGGAACCAGCCAGTCAGCTGGTCGACTCCTTCAGAGTATAGACGAGCGGTGCGTCCGCCCAGTGTACTCCACGACAGCCCCGAGTCCAGCCAAATGTCCATTATATCCTAGAAATAAAAATGCCAGTTTTTGTTGTAATGTAATTGTATGATTTGGCTAATTTTGGACTTGCATTATTCATGGAAATCCAGAGAAGGTTTGTACGAAGAAAAATAAAAAAAAACCTAAAAGAAAAAGTGTAATATCGACATCCATGCGGGCGGAGCCGCGGGCGTCCGCTATACCCTATAAATATTATAGCATTATTAATTCTATGTTTGTTTCATCATCGTCATCAGCATAAAAGTGCCCACTGCTAATCAAATACCTTTTCTTACGGAGAAGGTTTGAGCATTAATCACCACGCTTGCTCCAGATGGACGAATTCAAACTTATAATTAGAATTCATAAATCCAGAAATAATAAGATTTCAGTCATTAGTAATTGAATAGTGTAGGAGAGCTATGCTTCGGCACGAAATGAGTCGGCTCGACCGGAGTGATACCGCGCCGATCAAATATATGACCGGCGTGAAATAAAACCTAACGTTGTTTTTGAGTAAGGATACCGGCGGAATTATTAGTGTCTATGGGCGGCGCCGATTGCTTACCATCAGGTAATCCGTCTGCTCGTTTGCCGACCTATCGCATAACAGTGTAAGTCCGTGGTATCGCTCCTTATCAATGAAGATATAACCACATGACGGCGCATGCAGTGCCCCGACGCTCGAAAACGATTAGTATTTTGTCGCCTATGTTTAGGCCTCGGTACTAGTAACACGCAAAATAAAACAACAACAAATGTTTTTTTTTTTCTAATTATTGCAATTTTGTCGCAACAAAATGCCTTTATGCGCGACTAAGTAGTGTAGGAAACATTCCAAGATATCTATCAACAAAAAAGATGGCATTACTTTTCATTAGTAATTAAATAATACGAAAATATTTTTTTATTTCATTAGATTATGTGACTCCGCAGGGATCTACATAAAAGGGTGGTTGGGTAAAAAAGCACACTGATGATACGCACTTTGATGTCGTTTGTAAAGTCTCGTTCTTTCACTAAGCATTTCTAATGCTGCTATCTCTTTCTTTCCTTTTGTATTTTATTGTAAAAATCAGTGCTGTTATTTTTAATTTTTTAATAGATGGAATCGATGTCAATAAAAAAAGAATTAAATTAAGTGCATTTTTTGTTCAAAAATATAGGTACTTAAATATTTTTAAGCCTTATATAAAGGAATTTGTCTAATGTATAATGCTCCCGTATTACTGGAAGACGGCTTTACTGATTTGGAAATAAATTTTTCTCTGTTAAAGTTTTATTCGTCTGTGTGTTTGACATCCTTGTATGTTTTCATTTTACTTTTCCGTAGATTCCGGAACTTAGAAAAAAATGAATAGATGTACATATAAATATTCTATAGTCAACATCGATATACCCATTTTATCGATATTAGCTATTTTCCCTTAAATCATATAGATCATACCTACGCAACTTGACCTTGAACTGACCAATTGCAGTCGCGCGTTATTCCTCGTCCCCCGGCCCGCGGTAGTGAGTTGTGCTTAGGGAATGCAAAACCCGCCAAAATTTTAAACCGGGTTTATTTTCGAGTTCTATTTTAAAAAAACCCGGTTTTCGGTGAAATCGGGTTTAAAACGAGTTTTTTTTTTGTAAGTACTTTTTTATATAAACTGCATGGAAACGAATAAAAAATCGTGATCAAAGGAAAATAACTTTAATTTATTTAGATATAGTTTTCGTAAAACTATAAAATCGTTAACAATCAGTCTTACAATAATCAACTTTAGACAAGTAATTCACTGAATAAACATAATTATCGTGTTGATAGAACAGCTACAGCTAAGATACTGAAAATGACTGAAAATGAAAATAACAAATCATTAAACATTGCTTAAAGAATATTTTACTTTTTAAAGTATTTATAGGAACTGTCTGTACTCTAGTGCATCTACCTACAATAATATTTAAATAACAGAAAAAACTGTACTGCACGATGAACACTTGAAATTGTACGATAAATTTACTTTAATTCTATATTTTTTACTTCGAAAATAGCTAAAACTTATTAAATTATAGAAACAAACCACAGAGAAGATTAATAATACCTAAACAAACATCCCTTTTTTCTTTAAGATTCTCCCATGTAAGGGAAGGCAAAGAGCGTGAGCCCATGCAGCCTAGTCTTCACTTCTTCGTGTTGCCATTAAAAAAACCGAAAACACCGAAAAACCGGAAACGTGGCTAAAAAAAATCGAGTTTTTTTACCGTTTAAAATATCACAAAAACCCGGGTTTTCGAATTTCGGTAAAACCGGGTTGCATTCCCTAGTTGTGCTCTTAGAAGAAATCGGCCTATAAGCTATCTAGTGGTTATATCCTCTTTGCTCCTTATACAGGGTGTAAGGGACAGCCCTCCACAAATTAACAGGGTGCATTCAGCTCCTTATTCTGAATCATATTCCAGTGAAAATTCTTTCAGGAAAATTTTCAATTTTTTTTTCGTTTTTTCAGTTCCTACACCTCTATTTCAATGTATAATTACATTCTATGTATGAAGAATAACATTAATGTAAATAACACAGCTAAAACAAAAAAATACGCAATGGTTGTGTGAATTCTCTAAAGAACTACGCATGAAATCAGCTGTTCAATTTCTACCTAGCGCGAGTCGTTTGAACTCACCGCACCGCGGTCACGGCGCAGCGGCTCGGCGCCCCACCGCGCCGATCGCCGCGCCGCGCGCCGTAGGTATAATACCTACGATCCCGTCCAACGTACAGAATAGCTGCGTCCCTTTCTGTCGATTGAACCAGTGTTGCCAACTTTTAACTTTTGTTACCTCTTCTACCTTTCTACCTTTGTAAACGAAAATGTTAGAACTATCGAAATTTATCTAAAACTTGAGAACTCCATAATCACATTGATGAGATTTTCATTAATCAATTAATGAAAATCTTGTCGCGCACATAAATTGAATAAAAAATAAATAAAGATTAGTCTAGTTTTAATTTTAAAGCATTTACAAATACTACCTAATTTATTAATTGATTGTTCTTTTTAAGCGATTACTGGCTAGTTTTTAAACTACTTACAGATTTACATGGCTTCACAATAGCCATGAATTGATAGTCGAGCCAGAAATTAAACACAATCTCCCTGGAATGGAAGCACAGCTTTCTATCACACTGCACTTTTATTATTCTAAATTAACTAAACAATGAAATTAGAATTAAATTGATTTAATCAATTCATTTCTCTACAAAAAATAACAGAATGATAAATTACGACCATGCATAATTTTTAATTTTTTACCCCGAAATTTTGTACCTAATTTTCGTGTAATTGGCAACAACAGATTTATGTTTGTGTGTGTCTCATCACATGCAGTCGCCATTGTGCCTTGCTGCGATGTTACTGTTTATGTTCCGCGAGCGTGTGTTGGTACGGATCGCTCGCGCATTCGGCTTAAAAGTTTTGTTATAAGTCAATGATGTATAAATCTATAGATACGTTGTCCGCGCTCTAAAATGACAACATGAAATGAAGGCAATTGACAACATCGCGCTTAGTTACGCACCAACCTGCCGCGCGACGCTACGTTTGTTTTTAATTTATATCGTGTGTGTAAACCTGTGCGAAACATAAGTAAAGCATGCTGTCGTTTGTGTTCAGACGATGTACAAATTATACTCCAAAAGTTAAAGACAAAAATGTGTCATTTCATGCGTAAGTTCACCAAACAACCTACTTTTATTTTATTTTTTTCGACGCCGGCGCCCGCCATCTTATGGCGGCCATCTTATGAAAATTATTACTTATCCTGTGATGTAACTGAAGATGTATATTTATCTCCCTCTAGCAAAGGCATTCCACTATACGATGTCATATTTTCTTTCCCTTTCTTTACTAGTAGAAGTAGTTATCTAGTATTTTCGCCGTTTTTAAGCGCCGCGATGTTGGTTCATGACGTGTCTATATATAATACGTCATTGTTATAAGTAGTGTTGTTAAGTTTTATTAGTTATGTAGTGTGTGAAGTGTAGTGAAGTTTTGTTGTAGAAATTGTGCGAAATTACTACCTAGGTACGTTTAGCGCGCGTGATTATGGGGAGATGATAATGTGTTGTAGTAGTGTAGGTATCCTGACCGTCGGCATCCATCAGACTCCAGGATAATTACTGGTGACTATCAACGCTTGCTAGAAAACCAGCCGATTGTTCCCAGACAAAAAGGCGCCGAAAGACCAATACCTACGTGGATTTTGGAATTGGTTCGCTAACGTAACGAGACGCTACCACTTACCAGTGCTTTCCTATTTAAACGTAGTTTAGGTAGGTTTGGACCGCAACCGTGGCCAGCACGATCCCCAGACGTAACCCATTTGGACCCCTTTTTGTACGTAAAAGAAAAAGTGTTTGTGAGTGCGTGTGCAAGTGAGTACGAAATGCGAGACCGCATCACAAATGCTTTCCAGAGCCGGAAACCGGAGCGATTCTAAGGTACCTACGCATTTTTCTTTTTTTAACATTTATCAGTTACCATGTTATGATTGTTAGATTTTCTTTTGTTAGTAATGCGGCTATCTTTTAAATAATAATTTATTGTTATTAAAACGTGGCGCGAGCGCGATTATTAAATTGTCTTTTGTAAGTAATGCGGCTATCTTGTAAATAATAAGTTATTGTTATTAAAACGTGGCGCGAGCGCGACCGTTTGTCCGAAAGGTAAGGTCGCGGCGCTGCCCATAGTGTAAAGTAATAATACTAAAAGCGCTGCCGTTCGCTGCGTGCGTTTGCGGTGGTAGCGATACATTGCGTGTAAGGTAATGAAACAAATCGGTTTAATTGGATTCCCATAACGTTCCTGAAATAATTTCATGTACCTGTCAACTTAAGACGATATACTGAATCCACCCTATCAGTTTGCGGAAGGCTGTCCCTTACACCCTGTATATAACTTAATTGGCATGTACTGTGTGCCACATGAGTTTATCAAGAACTTATATGAAAATTATGTCGTTGTGCCAATGTCGGGGTGCGGGTTCAAAACCTAGTAAGTACCAATGTGAGTTTTTCTAATTTGTATGTACTTTGTATGATAATTGTTTAGACGCCACTGCCACGCCACCAAGGTGAAGAAAAGCATCGTGAGGAAACCTAGACTTATAAAAATAAGTTTGAAAAATCCAATCTGACTTGAGTAAGCGTGGTGATTAATGCTCAAACCTTCTCCGTGTGAGAAGAGGCCTTTGCGCAGCAGTGGGCACTTATAGGCTGATAATATGATGTTACACAATTAATATAATAACTATTTATATTACCTTGCCTTTACTGATATCTTTAGCATCCAACTTATGCTCGTTGATGACGTCGTAAGGCAGCAGTTCAGTGACGTCACAAGTCCACCACACGTCAGCGCCGCGCGACTCTATCATAGAGCAGAGCTTGTCTATGATACGTCTGGAATAATTTAGCTGTGTTTAACATAATTTTACTGTAAAATGGTTACACTTTTAGCGACGATGTTCGTTTTCGAAAGTTATATGTAGTTTTTACACATAAATCAATTAGAGTACCTAAAATGAACTATACTTTTCACATATCAGAACCGACTAATTGATGTAACAAAGAAATGAATTGTAAAACTGAATGAAAAAGAGTAACCATGGAGTTTCTTGCTCGTTCTTCTCCATAGGAATCTTCACTTTGGAACGAGCGAATAGCTTTACTAGAGGTCAGACGGACAGACAAACATAACGTTAAACCGCTTGAAATATGTTTTTCCTTACTTGTATTGCTTGACGTTCAAAAGTGCCTACTGTAGTCTATTGGGAATACATGATTTTGACTTTAACTTTCATTGATTGATTTAGATTTGGTAATTTTTGCAAAAAGAAAAGTAATTATTGTATTTGACGCAAAATGATAACGACTTCACAGTTTTGTAATCTCTTTCAAATACATAGAGAAGTAGTTCGTTTTTGGCATTTAAACAAAATCTCAATGTCAACTAGGTGTCTGAGCAGACGGATGCTTCATCAGCCCATTTAAACGCTAGAGGAGTTATAAGTGCGTAATCAAACTTCTGAGAAAAGACTCAAGAAGGGAAGTTTCGGAAGGGGTTGGAAATTGGAGAGGGGGCAGGTGATTTGGAAGAACGTGAAGATATGCAGGGAGTGAAGATTTGAGAGGAGTAAAGAATAGTTTTTTTTTGAGAAAAGAGCAGACGGCCAGCCTGATGGTAAGCAATCAGCGCCGCTCACGGAAACCCACAATAGAGGAGTTACGAGTGCGTTGCCGCCCTTTTGGGGATTAGGGATAGGCGTGGGAAAAGATTGGGCCTTCGGTAACCTCACTCACACAGCGAAACACAACGCTGTGGTTCTTTCACGCCGGTTTTCTGTGAGGCCGTGGTATCACTCCGGTCGAGCCGACCCATTCGTGTCGAAGCATGGCATTCCCACAATTAAAAAGTAAATAATTATTGAGGAGGGCGAAGACCTGGGGAGGGAGAGGATTGGCTATCCGGTAACTTAACTCCCACGGTAAATATCATATTACTTACTCATCAACAAGGACATTATCACGATTGTACAGTGCGGGTATAGGCACGCCCCACGCCCTCTGACGGGATATGCACCAGTAGGGCCTTTTCTCCAGCTGAGCTCTGAACCCCTGGCGATATTGATCACTACTTGAAGGTGGTAGGATCTCCACTTTCTCTAGCGCTGCCTGTTGAGAAAAATGTACTAAGTATAGCTCCAAAGAATGTCTATAAGAAATCGCATCTATAATACATATATAAACCATCCTCTTAAATCATTATATTCATTTAAAAAGACCGCATCAAAATCCGTTGCGCAGTTTTAAAGATAAGCATAAAACAGGGATACAGGGACAAAAAAGCGACTTTGTTTTATACTATGTAGTGATAAATAATTTTGATTTTTAGTACTCGTTGGACGTCTTTCTGTCGAGAATTAGCTGAGAAAAATTCTTACTGGTTTCAAGTCACTTACTCACCAAAGCCTTGTCTTTCAACGCGGCAGTATCGATAAACCACTGCTGGCTAGCCCTGATGATGACCGGCTTCTTCGTCCTCCAGTCCAAAGGGTAGGAGTGGACAAACACATCTCTATGCATGACATCATCACCGAGCCGAGTAATCACCAACTCCTGACCCTCAGACAGAACTGGTAGACCGTTCAGCTCATTGTCTAAGTTGGTGTAACGACCTGATTCGTCTACATTGCATTCCTGGGGAAAATATGAATATTATTGTAATAAAAAGAAAGAAACAAGAAAGAAAAACATTTTTATTTTGCGCAAGCGCACACACAGAAAACCAACATACAAAAAACTAATACTCATAATCTAAACTAAATGATACAAATAATAGGTTCTGAAAAAAAAATATTTGTCTATGGTCTACAGAGTATGACATTATGCGCAAGTTCGCGTCTATATTTTTCATTATCTGTGGACCATAAGAACAAGGAAGTAAAATTTTTGTAACAAACTATAAACAAATAATAACAAAAAACGGCATATCACGGGTTGCAAATAAAGCAACCAAAGAGAAAGAGAGAGAGAGTGAAGAAGAGAGACAACGAATTTAATACAATTACCAGAGATTTTTGAATATCTGGTAACTATCGTGATTCATACAAAATTTACTGAAAAATAAAGATTTACACACGTGAAATCAATGACAAAAGCTCTACTAGTTTGGCAGAGAGCGCGTTGGGCGCGCAAGTCGCAAGCTCGAGTAGCCAGTTGGCTGCGCAAAGTTTTTTATCCAACACACAATTTGTGGATCACACAAAGAGTTGTTCCGTGTGGGAATCGAAACCGCCACACGTTGCACGGCAGCCGGTTGCCTAGCTACCGCGTCAATCGTGCAGTCAATTAGATAACTTACAACGTAACATTATCATGCAGTACCTGTTTACCACAATTCATCACTCACCACAGTCATATTATTCTTCAAAGCGACAAGGAAATCTTCCGGACCGTGCGCGGGCGCAGTATGTACAAGCCCTGTCCCTTTCACATTGGTCACGTGGTCTCCCTCTAAGAATGGCAGTGATTGGTTCACTAGTTTGTTGTGGTACGTTGTGCCTTGTAGGTGTTGGCCTAAAAGAAATAATAATAATTATATTTGTAATCGTAAGCTGAGAGGACACTAGAACCCCTCCGGTGCAAGACGCTGCTGGCTCTTCCTTGGGTGTAGGATTTGGTCTTCATAAACGTCGAAACATAGCTGTTGTGTGTTGTTTTACTCGTTCTGATAGAAAACCATATTAACATTTTATCCCGACCAGAGAAGACTTAAAACTCACAGCAATCATCCAACATTATTTTTTGCCTATCGCCAATTAAGCTACAAATTCGCATCTTTCAGTGAGTTAACTTATCAAACAAAGTAATAATAAGTAATTGAAATAAATAAATAAATTTTCGACTGCACGGTTAGCGCAGTGGCTACGTGATTAGCTGCTGTGCAACGAGTAGCAGAAACGATTCCAACACTGAACATCACTTTGAGTGATCAAATTGTTGTTTCAGGTCTGGGTGGCTGGCGTATGTGAATGTATATGTTACCACCTACGACACAGGAGTAAATTCCAGTGTGGGCCAACGATTTCTTAAATAAAAAATAAACAAATTACCATCAAACTCAGCAAGCGTATTTATTTCCACCTTCAGAATACCCTGTAACTGCTGGACCAGCCCGCTTGCCACTAGGAACAGGTCTGATCTTCCATCGATAGACACAATACTGTACTTCATTTGACGGTTGTAGCAGATTGCGCGGTTAGCCACCAGCGTCCAAGGGGTCGTCGTCCAGATAATTGCTGATATCTTTTTGCTGGAAGGAATTCAATTAGATTATATGATTAACTGCCTTCTTAAGTCTTGGTGGCTCGGCGATAAAGGCATCCGCTTCTCATAAATGAGGTTTGAAACCTGGCAAGCACCACCAATGTGACTTTTTACGTGATATATGTACTTTCTATGATTATTTAGACACCATTGACATACGGTGAAGGTAAACATCGTGAGAAAATCTGGATTTATAATAGGTAGGTATCTTATTATAAGTTTGAAATCACCAATACAACTTGAGCAAGCGTGATTAATAATGCTCTTCTCGGTGTCGGAATAAACCTTTGCTCTACAGTGGGCACTTTGATGTGATTAATTGCCTCCTTGGGCGAGTGTTTGCAAGCGTGAAAGACAAGGGCATTTCGAGAGACGATTTCCAGCCACCGTTTCGCCACCCGATCAAAACCAGACCACGTACGGCGCGTAGCATTCCGCGCGCGCCTCAAAGAGCCAATAGACCACCACAGACGGGGCCCTATAGGGCTGATGTTTAGCTGGGGTTGCGGGGTAAGCACAATGAGGCACGGCGGCTTCGGCCCAGAGCAGGAGAAGGAACGTGGAGGGGGGGGTTAGTCAGTAAGAGTCTGAACTCACAAATAAAACAAAATTAACAAATCAGTGGGAAAATACAATAACTCTCGAGCAAATTTCCCGAATCGGGTAGAGTATACATAGCAATGTAATCGCCTCTGTTAGTGTTTTTGTAATGATGGGGCAAATGAAACAGTGACTTCTCCTAGAGGTAGTATAAGATTGTTATTGACGTAAAACCATCCCGTTTCTTCTACTTTAAGCCGAACCACGGTAGGTTACGGCGCCTAACCAGCAAGCCTAGGCTGGCATTAGTCCTAGTTCTAGATCTAGATCCCATCTGCAGTGGTTACTTGGAGTTATACTTACTGACCGTCCGTAGACCCGCGCTGGTAGTGGCTGGAGATCGTCGCGCAAAAATGTTTGCTACATAGTATATGATCACTTATGCGTTGTGTGAGGAATTAAGTAAAAGAAACGTAATGTTATGTTAGTAGCTTATTATTATTTTTCTTCAACAAATGTAATCGTTAAATTGTTATGTACTTACCCTTTAACAACATCTTTGACTACATTAGGTACATTTTTCAATGGGAATCTAACATACACTTCTTTGCTTTTAAACTGGGGATCATATTCCAATTCTGCCTCAGCTAAAGCTGTTCTGAAAACAAAGACAAAAATGATGAGAAATACTCTCTATCGTGTTTTTATATTTTATGAAGTTAGCTCCATTTTGAATTTGGAATCCAGTATTTAAACAGCTTAAAATCTATAGTCAGACTTTTAATTCGATTCCTGATTTGACATTGACCACTGTCATTTTGTGAAATAATGATACCACATATAACAGTGTAGTGATGAACACAAAAATCGATAAACATTCAGTGAATCAGTTTCAGGAAGGCATCAAAAAATTAGGGCTACCGAATGGTCTAAATGCGTATCCCATGTTGTCAAAGAAGAGGAAAAAATGAGTAAGCTAGGTATGTTAATTGATAATAAATATCAAAGACACAATTCATAATAAATGTTACAGAAAGTAACAGCGATAGCTATAGCGATGACGGCGACAATTTATAAAATGTCTGTTTTATTTGTCATGTTCCTTCATGATCACATTTTTTATTAATTTCACAAACAATTACAAAAAAAAGTCTCAGGTCGTTAATTATTTGTCAAAACTAAATTATCGGTTCAGAAATATTTTATTTCCTGATAAACTTAGTTTACGAGAGTAAATTTATAAACGAGAGGAATCGATATAGAAATATTCGATTTCCATACGGAATAATTTCGCAACGTCACTATTTAATACGTGTCATAACGTTGCAACACTGAGATTGTCAAATCTGGAATGGAATTAAAATTCCGAGTATAGGTGATCTGACATGTTATTTCATTAATTTATTATCAAACTAATAGAAAAACCAACTCACTTTGAAGAAGGTGACCAGTAAACAGGTTTTAATGCCCGAAAAATTAATCCAGACTTATACATTTTATAGAACTGCCGCAATTGATTCTGTACATATCCTTTATTTAATGTTAAATAACATTGCTCATCCCAGTCGGCCATGACACCCCATTTTTTGAATGCATCTTTTTGCTTTTCAACTGTTTCTAATGCAAATGTCCTTGCAATTTCTCTTATATGCACTGGGTCAGAGATTTGGCTGGTTTTAGATGATTTCTTGGCCTTCTGTAAAGCTTTTAGCTCTATGGGTAGACCGTGACAGTCCCAACCGGGAATATAATGCACTCTGTTGCCTTGAAGCACTTTGCTTCTATTATTTATGTCCTTGATTATCTGGAAAAGAAGTTGAGAATTAGTTTGAAGTTTTATTTTTTTATTGTACATGTTTATTATATTATTATTATTATTTTTGTATATTAAATCACATTAGAATTTTCTTCCACAACAAAACACATCAACTTTACAGAGATCTAAAAGCATGAATAAAAAATTCTTTTATACATTGCCCTCATGATCTGTGTCATAGATGCAACCAGAAATGGAAAAATATTTTTTGGATCACACAAAGGGTTGTTCCAAATGGGAATCGAATTCGAAAGACTTAGCATGGCAGCTGGTAGTCCAGCAACTACTTCAACTGTGCAATTCCAATGGAATATGAGTAAGATTATTATGTTAGAAATCTACATAGTAATGTTTTTACCTTATTCACAGCATGGCCCATATGTAAATCTCCATTAGCATAAGGAGGTCCATCATGCAGTACAAACTCAGGCCCTTTAAGGTGTTTCCTTTGCCAGTTATATAGATCTGCGAACTGGGCTGTCTGAAAAAAAAAACCAAATTTAAAAAATGAGCCTCCCTTTTATCTTTGTTAAAATCCTTTCTATTTGATAATTTGGTACCGTATTCGCTAAATAACTGTTTAATTAGTAATATAAGATTTATCTTACCTTTTGAATATTCTCCTTTATCGCGTTACTTGAACGAGTCGGAAAATCGGTCTTTGGAGAAAGAATGGTATGAGAATAAGCCTTGGTTTTTGGCGCGGCCGTACTTTTGCCACGTACACATTTCGTATAATTCGATTTTAATACAAGTCTTCCGTATTTATTCCATATAATGTTTGAATTTTTCGCGAAATACATTTTTGAGGTTATTTTACTTTGTTATGACAGTTTTGCCTTTGACAGATAATGAGATAACGCCATAGACTAAATTCACTAATGACCTCTAATCCATGTTTCTACATGTTTAGTTCTTAATTAAAATAAACGTTACCCATATCAGGCTGAGATAAATAAAAAATAATCTAAAAACACATCCGGAAGCACACTGCAAAGTGTCAAATAAAACTAGAAAAAATAAACAAATATCTAATTATAACCTTTAAAAATTTCCGAACGCCACCTCCATTCATGATGTTTTATTATTATTGTATACTCTGTTAAAATCTCTTTTGACGTACGCCATTTCAAAACAACACATGTTTTGAGCGTATTACTATTAAAATTACAATACATCCTGATTCTCTCGATTTAATCACAACAAAATGGTATAGTACTTCAAAACTTATTCTATTTCAATTTTACAAGACACCGTGGAAAGGTTTTCAATAAATACAAATAACCTTATTTCATTTCAGCCGAAGACTAAAAAGAAATTCATAGATCGTAAGAAAGCTGTGACGTTTAACTTGGTGCACAGATCGCAAAGGGATCCTCTGGCAGCTGATGAGACGGCCCCACAACGTGTCTTAGTGCCCGTCAGTGCCAACATACCTCAGAAAAAAGAAAAAGACCCTGTAAGTGTGCCATTGGTTTTGTTAAGAAAAACGTGTAGTTAAGACCATATTTTAAGTTCTTAATGTACCAATAAGTTTTAAAATCACTTTTTAAACAGATCAATAGTGTAATCATGGTATATTTCATGTATAAACATTGAGAAATACATTAAATTTATCTTAGTACAGAATGTTAATCAATTCATAGACTACAAATAACAACTTTCTTATTTTAAACTTTTATACATTCTATTTTTTTTTATTCTTGTAATAATCTTGGCAAGGATAAAGCTAAATTAGGCTTGGTGGTTTTTTAAAAAAAGGTTTTATGTATTTTTTTTCTTTTTGCAGGAATTAACACCAGAGCAAAGAAGAGAAGAACAGATTAAATATGGCATATACTTTGATGATGATTACAACTATTTGCAACATCTCAAGGATTCCAGAGAAGTCACTCTTGTGGTGCAACCTGTAAGTACCTATTTGGATGTTTTAAATAAGGTGCAGAGCGCTATTTCAATTAAATCATTAAACCCCAATAGAATGTCAGCTTTCACCATATTGTCTTACTATTGTGTCTCATATTACTACTATGGTTGAAAGGTTAAATATTATATATCACATTCTGTCATTGTCATCAATTTATGGTAATAGACTCAACCCCAATTCCAAGAACTCAATGCACTGTGTCAAAACAGATAATGATATATGTGATCTGATCTCAGGAACTATTAGTACAATATGGAAGAATCTTTTGGGTTGGATAAAGTCAATGTCAAATTATTTATTTCATATAGACAATTATACATATGTACTTTTGAACATCAAACTTATTTGTTTACCAAATATAGAAGTAAAAAAGTGTCAGTCAGAAAGGTATAAAAAAGTCAGACTTTAATAAATATGGTAGCAGCTTAGAAGCAGCAGTACCAGGAATAACATGTAGTCGTGGTATGGAATTAGCTCTCAGAAAATGTAATGAAAGTGTGTACAATTAATTAGCCCAGGTTTCTGAAAGGCTTGTCAACACTAAAATTAACTAATCTTCTGTTAAATCTCTTGTCGAGTCATCTGATTGGTTGTTGATAATTCAGTCAACCAATCAGATGACTTGACAAGAAATTATATTGATTTTAACATTGATCTGCATTTCTGAAACCGGGTGTTAATCTTGTTGTAATATCAATTAAAATAACATACTACTAAACACAACACTACTATTAGTTAGTTTAGGTTGTTGCCAACATTAGACTAAAAAGGTTGGTTAGTAGTGTAATAAAAAAGAGTAAAAACAAAATAAACTGTCATAGTGTCTAGTGAAAAATATTTTGTCTCAGTGTGTCTTGGAATGTCTAATAAATTGTGTGTCTAATAAAACAAGATAATATTACAACATCTTTTATTCAAATCTCAACAGGTTATGGGCCCAGGCACATAATTCTTCGTTATTCTTTTTACGAAAGATGTTGGATGCATAAGTAAATACTGCAAAAACTCAAACCGGCAAATTGCACGTGTTGAGGTTAGGTGAAAAACGCTGTACGTCTTACGCGTCTTTTCACGAAAACTGCAGGAAGGCTCAGTATCTTGGAAGCGGCACGAAAATACATTGGCAAAGATGGATGGATGTGATAAATTAATAAACTTTGGTACTATAAAACTGGAAGGTTCCAGAAACTGGAATATCTGGAAATTTCAGACTACAGTTTTATTGCGTGGTAAAGGATGGCTGGACATCGTTGAGGGACGTTGTATCAAACCAGAGAATCTGCAAGAACAAAATGTCTGGGAGGCCAAGGACGCTAAGGCGCAGACATTGCTGGTAACTCGGATGACTGAAGAAGTTATGCTGCATATCATATCTTGCGAAACTTCGTCGCAAATGTGGAGGAAATTGCAAAGCGTATTCGAACAAAAGACTGAAACCAGCATTCATATTGTTCAACAAAGATTTTTCCAATTCAAATTTGAAAAAGGAACAGAAATGTCAGTGTTTCTGTCAAAAATTCAAGAGCTACAAAACCAACTTAAACAAATGGGCGAAGAAATATCCAATAAGTTGGTGATAACTAAAGTACTCATGTCCCTACCCGATGAGTACAAACATTTCGTTTCGGCGTGGGAGTCGGCCCCCGATGAGAAGCAGACGTTTGACAACTTGGTGGCAAGATTGTTAGTAGAGGAAGAAAGAATCAAAGAAAAGAACGAGGATCAGGCTCCATCATCATCAGCGTTTGTGGTTAAAGACAGAAAGACTGTAAAGTGTTTTAAGTGTAATAAAGTCGGACACTTCCAGTATGAGTGTAATAGCAACTATCATAAAAAACTAAATAATGTGGAAGATGTGAAGAATAAATGTTATTATTGTGGTAAATTAGGACATGTAAAATCTCAATGTTGGTTCAAGAAAAACAAAGATAAACAACAACATAAGAAAAGTAATAATGCGTTCGTAGTGTTCAACTCAAATTATAAACAGTATCAGGAAACTAAGTGGTTGGTGGATTCAGGAGCGAGCGAACACATGTGTTGCGATCGCACATTGTTCAGTTCATTGTCAACAAACATTTCGCAAAAAACAGTAATCGTCGGTAATGGCGCTGCCATAAGTGTTCTCGGATGTGGGCAGATGGCGGTGGAGGTGCAAAACGGAAATGAATGGGTGACAACAACTATAGACAATGTACTATTTGTTCCTGAATTGAAGATTAATCTATTCTCGGTCAATCGTGCCACAGATAAGGGTTATATTATTATGACAGATGACAGTTCATGTAAATTTATTAAAAATGGACGTGTTTGTGCTATTGCTAATCGAGAAGGGAATTCTTATTACATGAAATTACGTTATCAAAGTGAATCGGCGAGTGTTGCAAAGTCGGAAGAAAATGATTTAAATGTATGGCATAAACGATTTGCTCACCAAAACTTCGATCACGTAAAGAAAGTGTTGCATAAAAATAACATAGAAATAAAACAACATTCGGTTCCCAAATGTGAAGATTGTTTACTAGGTAAAATTCACCGCTTACCTTTCATGAGTAGTGACTATACTAGCACGAAAACATGCGATTTGGAAAATAAGGAGAACCCTGTGGATGTAACACTTACCTCTGATAATTCTACTGATAATGATAATTCGTCTGGTAGTGAATATGAACCTTGCGTTGAGGAGTTGAGTTCGTCTGATTTAGAGAATGAGACACCACCATCTCAGAATAGAAGAAGCAAGCGTGTTAGGAAACAGACATCTTTCTATACCTGTAATAGTGCACACAGTGTAAGTGATCCAGTGTCATACAAAGAGGCAAGGAGTGGTAGTAATGCAAGTGAGTGGCGTGAAGCAATCAATAGAGAGTTACGAACATTAGAAAATAACCATACTTGGTCAATTTGTACATTACCAGAAAATGTTAAAGCTATTAATAGTAAATGGGTTTTTAAAGTGAAGGGGGACAGATAAAAACAAACAGTATAAGGCTAGATTAGTGGCATGAGGGTTTGAACAGGAAGAAGTTTTTGATTTAAGTGAGATATATGCACCAGTAGCTAAACTTTCTACTTTTCGATTATTTGTTATAATTGCAACTAAATTAAGTCTTCCAATATACCAGATGGATGTAACAGGTGCTTTTCTGTATGGGGAAATAAATGATGATGTTTATATTCGTTTACCAGAGGGAGCTTATTCAAATAATGATGTTGTTAAATTGAATAAATCGTTATATGGTTTAAAGAAGTCTCCAAAATGTTGGAATGATAAATTCAATTCTGTAATTACAAAGGAAGGTTTCAAAAGATCAAAATGTGATTCATGTTTGTATACTAAATGTAGTGATCAAAATAAGACTTTTGTTTTGTTGTATGTTGATGATCTCTTGATGTTTGGAAATAATGAACAGGAAATTTGTAAACTAAAGACTGTATTAAATAAAGAATTTGAAATGAAAGATTTAGGTAGAGCATCAGATTTTTTGGGTATAAATATTGATCAAAACTTAGAAACAGGAATTACTGTTTTATCTCAAAAAAGGTACTTGCAGGATGTTCTTACTAGATTCAATATGAAGGACTGTAAACCAATGTTGACTCCTATGGATCCTAACTTTAATGCAAAAATATTTGAAAATGAAAATAATGAAAATGGTACTAATAAAAACACTGAAATGTTGTGCAGGCAAATAATAGGTAGTCTTATGTACGCTGTTTCAGGAACTAGGCCAGATTTATGTTTTTCTATCTCAATGTTGAGTAGGTATCAAAAATGTGCTAATGATGTATTACTAGTTGCCTTGAAAAGAGTTCTACGCTATGTTAAAAATACATTAGATTATAAGTTGATTTACCAGTGTAATGATAAAGCTATATTAGAGGGATATTGTGATGCTGACTGGGGAGGAGACTTGAAGGATAGGAAGTCAACTTCAGGGTATATGTTTAAGTTTTCAAATTGCCTAGTTATGTGGTGTTCTAAGAAACAGACATGTGTAAGTTTGTCATCAACTGAATCTGAATACATTGCAATGAGTATGGCTGCAAGTGAGGCTTGCTGGTTAATAAACTTATTAAAGGATTTTGGTTTTCATGTTTGTCCAGTAAACATTTACTGTGATAATCAGTCAGCCATACTTACTGCAGCGACAGAATCCATAAAACGTTTAAAGCATGTAGATATTAGATATCATTTTGTTAAGGATTTAATACAAAATAACACAATTTGTGTACAATATGTTGAAACTGGCGAACAACCATCTGATATGTTCACAAAAGCTTTAAATAGAAATTTGTTTGAAAAATGTTTAAAGAAGTGCAGAGTAGGTTTACAATAGGTAGAATTAAAGTTAAAAGTTTAACAGTTGTGGTTGTTTATGAAAACAAGTATCAGTTAAAGGAAGTGATCGTTTGTTTTGAAGTTGAAGAAATGTTTAAGTTAAAGTTTTTTTTTTTTTAAAGTTAGATTTTAGTTAAAGTACCTCTTACTTTAGTTTTATTTTATTGAGGTTGTTAGGTATGTTATTTAATTGAGAGGGGGTGTTGTAATATCAATTAAAATAACATACTACTAAACACAACACTACTATTAGTTAGTTTAGGTTGTTGCCAACATTAGACTAAAAAGGTTGGTTAGTAGTGTAATAAAAAAGAGTAAAAACAAAATAAACTGTCATAGTGTCTAGTGAAAAATATTTTGTCTCAGTGTGTCTTGGAATGTCTAATAAATTGTGTGTCTAATAAAACAAGATAATATTACAACATCTTTTATTCAAATCTCAACAAATCTTTTAAAAACTGACTGGACAAAATCAGACACTAGCATTCTAAGCTGCTCATGTCTTCAAGTATGATAATAATAATATGTTTCTTGATACTTGTCAACAGCGACCAGTACACAAAAGGAAAGAGAAAACCACAGAAACCAATGAGGATGAAGTCCCAGTGCCTGTGACAGAGGCTCTTACGCTGCCCAGCTCAGTGTTTGCGTCCGAAGTGGAGGAAGATGTTGGTTTACTAAACAAGGCTGCACCACAAGGTAATATATGATTAAGTAGGCATGTTTTTAGACTTTAATTTGAAAAGGCAATTGAGTGCTATAATGTAATTCATTCAATTTAATCAAATTATAATGAATGACTTGTAATTACATTATACTGCCTGTAAAAAGTGAATGACTGCACGATTGCCGCAGCAGTGGCTGGGCAAATGGACGCTGTACAACATGTAGCAGGTTTAAACACCACACAGAAGAACAATAAAAATGGTTGTTCTTGTTCCAGGCCTCTGTCTCGACTTGGATCCTGAAGTGGTAGCAGCATTGGACGATGACTTCGATTTCTATGACCCTGACAATCAATTGGAAGACAACTTTATTGATCTGGCTATGGCTGAAGGTGAGTGGTTCTTTACTAGCAACCCGACCCGCGCGGGTGCAATGCTAAATAATAAATTTTAAATATGCTAAACACATATTATATATATATTAAAATTAATTTTATTGTCTTAGATATAAAAATAAATAAATTAAGGATATCTTTTATGTACCTATAATATTAACAGTAGTAATAAATAACAATATTGTAAAACATAAGAGCGCCACTATCGCCAACCAACTGTCTTACAGTTTGGCGATTTTTGAAAACTATTTCGTGAATAACTAAATAAAAAAAAATACTAAATGTCTCCACTATTTAATGAAATTATACATATAAACATTCCTCAATCTTTCTATCTATAAAAAAAACCGCATCAAAATCCGTTGCGTAGTTTTAAAGATTTAAGCATGCATAGCGTGACGTAGTGGCTCAGAAGTTTAGTCGTCCGCTTGTTATACATGTTGGTGCGGGTTCGAAACCTGAGAAGTAGCAATGTGACTTTTCCGAGTTGTATGTACTTTCCAAGATTGTTTAGATACCACTGACATACGGTGAAGGAAAACATCGAGAGGAAACCTGGACTTATATTTTCTAATTATAAGTTTGAAATGGCCAATCTGCCTTGAGCAAGCGTGGTGATTAACGCTCAAACCTTCTCCTTGTGAGAGCCCTTTGCGTAGCAGTGGCCACTTATAGGCTGATGATGATGATGATTTGTGATATGTGTGTGAGATTCACGGGTTATTTCCAGGTTCCGGTGATGATGAATACGATGATTATGATGAAGATGGCGACAGCATGTCACAAGATGACAATTCGGACAAGGCATTCGCTTCCGACCTCGATTCTGATGATGACAGCGATTCGGTATGTTTCTCTTTTATTATAATTTCTTGAAAAAGTTAATTATATTTCATACATCCTATATTAAAGTAGATAAAAGCCAAAATGATTTAATCTGAACATTAATTAACATGGAAATTGATTATTAATTTTTACAGTTACCAATTCCTTAGTGGGTGGTAATAAAAGTATTTTTAAAGCTAGCAACATTCTCGGTATTATTTTGGTGTTGCAGACATTTATTAAAGTTTGGTGATTTGTTTGTTACTAAAAATTGTATGAATGAATGGTTTTTCGAAGCAATAATTATTTTTATTTTTTTGTTTTATTAGATTTGTTTTTACCTTTATCTTATATTTTTATTTAAAATTAATTTAACGATGTTTAATGGCTTACTCACATAAATCTTTGACGATGAACTCGACTAGTTTCAAGCCATGTTAGGGGCTCTTATTCATGAGCAATATGCGCGTGGCGACGCCGTCGTTATCTTCATTTTTAGTATGTCTCGCTCGTGAGATAGGTTCTCAAAGAAATTTAAACTCTAATTAGTTCAAATAGGTCGCTAATTACACTATGATAAAATACAATAATTATTATAACTGTTGCTGTTCCAGGACGATAGAATGGCTCGCGGTAATCGCATGCCTAAATGGGAGTCCCGCGACAATGATGACACGAAGTCCAGATTCTCCCAGTACTCCATGTCTTCCAGCGTGATGAGGCGGAACCAGGGACTTACACTCCTTGATAACAGGTTCGAAAAGGTAAAAAAAGCTTAAAGGATATCCTTCCTCTCCATATAAGTATAAATAGGTAAACGAGCAGGCGGATTACCTAATGGTAACCAATCTGTGCCGCCCATGGACACCCGCAACACTAAAAGAGCTACGAATACGGTGCCGGCCTTTTGGGGATAAGGGTTACAAATATTTTAGGATTGAAAAGGGATAGCGGAGCATCGGCTCGACCGGAGTGATACCACGGCCTCACAGAAAACTATCATGAAGCAACCAGCGTTGTGTTTCGCCGTGTGAGTGAGGTTACCGGAGGCCTAATCTTTCCCCTCCCCCAATCCCTAAATCTCCAAATTCCTTATCCCCAAAAGGTCGGAAACGCACTCGTTACTCCTCTCTTATTGATCTCTCTCTCCATGGGCGGCGCTAATTGCTTACCATCAGATAATCCGTCTGCTCCTTTGCCAACCTATCACATTAAAAAAGCACACCGCTCACGTCCAGCGCTTAACGACTTGTGAATTAAATTCTGTCATGGTGGCCCGGAAGTTAAGAAGCCTGCTTCTCATGCATGAGGGTTCGAAACCCGGGAACTATTGTTAGTTCCAAAAAGACGTTGTCAGAGTCACATGTATGTACTTTCTATGATTATTTAGACACCACTGACATAATATGGTGAAGGAAAACATCGTGAGTAAACCTGGACTTATAATTTCTAATTATAAGTTTGAAATCGCCATTCCGCCTAGAGCAAGCGTGGTGATTAATGCTCAAACCATCTCCGTGTGAGAAGAGGCATTTGCTCAGCAGTGGGCACATAAAGGCTGATGATGGGAATGTCTGAATTAATTAAATTAGCGCAGATCTAAGCGAGAATCAATATATTTCCTATTGTGTCTCATCTACCGGCAAACGAGAGGATTAACTGCTGCTGCTGCTGTTCCAGATGTTCGCTGAATACGATGATACAGAAGTTGGTGCGTTGGACCTCGAAGAGATCGAGGGCTTCATGCCGGAGACCCACAACATGTTACTCCAAGCAGCCGAGCACTTTGAGGAGTCTCAACGGAAGTATCAGCTCGATAAAGAGAAAGAAATTGCCAGGTAAGAATATTAAACATATCTTGTATACTAGCAACAAAAATATCTTGCTACTCACTCGCTGCTCGGCTGCTACAGATCGTGGCGTAATGTCTTATAGCCTAAAACCTTCCTCAATAAATGTTCTATTAAACACAAATAAAAAAATTGAATAAGTAGTTTCTGAGATTAGCGCGTTTATGTGATAAACGATATGAAATATGAAAAAAACTCTTCAGCTTTATAATATAAGTATAGATTGCCTTTTGAACTATATTTTTAAGTGTGGAAGAGCCGAACTTCGGCACGAATGGGTCGGCTCGACTGAAGTGATGCCACGGCCTCACAGAAAACCGGCGTGAAACAACCACAGCGTTGTGTTAGTGAGTGAGGTTACTGGAAGCCTGATTCTAGGCAATAACCCGTTGATGTGAAATCATAATGCTGCCCTCCATACAACTAGCATATCTCAGAAATGATCTGTCCTGTCAGAAATGACCTTGATCCCACCTAATAAATGAATTCCGGAATCGAACCCCCGGGTTCGGACCCTTTCGTGTGATCCAGAAATTGTTGTGAACTGAAGAAGCTAGAGTTTTGGAGAAATTACATAACCGTCAAAAACTTTTCAGAATAAATCGTCTTCAAGAAATCGAGGAGGAGTCAGAGGAAGAGCTGGTGACAGTGAGGGTGGATCCTGAAGAGAAGTGGGACTGCGAGACCATACTGTCTACTTACTCCAACTTGTACAACCATCCCAAGGTCATTGAGGAGCCTAAGGTTAGTCGACAAACCTTACCACACTCTTTGATAGCCGCCTCAGTAGGCGACACTCCGGGATCGAGAGACGATCCCCGCCCACCGTAAGGTCTGCGGACGGCGAGTAAGGGTAACTCACCGTCCGACCAGAACCAGACCCGAACGTATTTCAAAGAGCCAATAGACCACCACAGACGGGGCTCTATAGGGCTTGTGGTTATGGCTGCAGTTTCGACACCAGTGAAGGATTTGTTGATCAAAACTACAGGTTTGTGCAATGACGTATTATATATAGACACGTCATGAACCAACATCGCGGTGCTTAAAAACGGCGAAAATACTAGATAACTACTTCTACGAGTAAAGAAAGGGAAAGAAAATATGACATCGTATAGTGGAATGCCTTTGCTAGAGTGAGATAAATATACATCTTCAGTTTTGCCGAAGGCACGTGACTATACCTTCCTTCGCCGGTCACCATAAGATGGAGGGCGCCGGCGTCGATAAAAAATAAAATAAAAATAGGTTGTTTGGTGAACTTACGCATGAAATTACACATTTTTGTCTTTAACTTTTGGAGTATAATTTGTACATCGTCTGAACAAACACGACGACATGCTTTCTTTTTTTTGCACACGATATAAATTAAAAACAAACGTAGCGTCGCGCGGCAGGTTGGTGCGTAACTAAGCGCGATGTTGTCAATTGCCTTCATTTCATGTTGTCATTTTAGAGCGCGGGCAACGTATCTATAGTTTTATACATCATTGGGTTTGTGTGTTAAAAATGTAGGACTAAATAATATCACATCAAGATTGGAAGTTCATATTTTTTGGGTATCAGCTATCAATATTAAAATGGATAACTAGTTCGTCCATTCTTCGTTTCTTTTACCCCATATAAAAATTTCATCCTTATATACCTAACGAAGTTGCCATTAATTCTAAAGTAACTTAACGAAGTAGAAGAGTTTATTATAGGGTAGACGATTTCCTAAAAGATGATATTTAGAATTTGTAACCAGTTGACATTTAGACTGTATGACATGTAATTCATTCTTTGACTTATGATTTTATTTGTTAATTATTTGGGTACATTTCATTTTTATTTTTATTTTGACTTTGACATTTAATTTTTTTTTTCTGTCCAAATCTTAATCATTTTATTGTATGTAGATTTTGGTAATGTCTGCCTAAAGTGACTAATTTAGTACGCCATAAATGGCAAAACATGTAGACTCTGTATATACCAAAAACACCTTTATTGTAATTACTCATGTTTTACTAAATAAATATATCTTATCTTATCTTATATCTTATCTTACGAAATATTTTGTTACTTACATACTTGGTCTTATAATAATATTATTTATACCTTTCAGAAACCCCAAAAAATCAAGTTAAACGCTCGTGGTATACCTAAAGACGTACTCGGCAAGGATAACAAGCTGACTGTCAAGTCTCTCGCCAAGTTCAACGCTATGCAGAAAGAGACCGGGTCTTCTGACGAAGACGATGACGAAAAGACCAACGCTGAGACCGTCCTGTCTACTCTCAGTGTCCTCTCTATACGGTAAGTTGTATGAAATACTATATATACTATACCTAAACGTGTTTTCAATATGATTCGTGGATAAATCACCAATTTGTGGATAAATTTTAAATCAAAACAAATTATCTTAAAATATGTGTATGATTAGTAAATAAGCGAAAAACTACAAAAAAATCTCGTTCAATAAAAAAAATCTATGTTAGAGTCAACATAGTGATCGATGCCTACATAGCTACACTGACGAACAGACTTCCATTCTATTTTGACGTTCCAAAAGTACCAATTTATGGTTTAGTTTGAATAATGATTTTGACTTTGATAAAACCTACTCGCGTAGACCGATCAAAAACATTTAAGAATTAAAAAACTTACCTCGACTAATAATAAAATAATGACAAGTTTCCGTGTATTTTCTTTTTACTAGATACCTGGGCGAAGGCTTCTGTTTTAACCAATGTTTTAAATAAATTTCAGAAGTTAAAAAAATACTTTACATTTAATACAGCTCGCACTGTTTTGTAACATTCAAAATCTTTTCAGGCCAAAAGACGAAACTCCAGAAGAAAAGAAAGAGAGGAAGCGTCTTCTAAAGGAGTACAGGAAAGAAAGAAGAATAGAGAAGAAGGCAAACAAAGAGGCTTTCAAAGAAGAGAAGAAACGACAGGAAAAGATCATGATGAATAATAAAAATAATGTTCAAGGGAACAGAATATTGTAATTTGTAGTCTATGTGATATAAATATATATATTATGTTGTAAGTAAAAATGTTTATTTATTTTCTATTTTGTTTCTTAGTTCGTTCAGTTTTCCAATGTGGTAGGTAACCTGGGTGAATTGTATTACTAGTTACTGCCGCGCGATTTCACCTGCTACTGTCTTCCTATTGCCCGAGCGCGTCTCAAAGAGCCAATAGACCAGCACAGACGGGGCCCTATGGGGCTGTTCAGCCGGAGTTGCGATAGCTAACGATGTTTTCTTTCGCCGTATGTCAGTGGTGTCTAAATAATCATACAGAGTTACCTGGTGTCTAAATAATCATTCACAGTAACTATCCAAATCCAAAGCCTCATGCATGAGAAGCGGGCGCCTTAACCTATTATAATCCTTCCCATCCCTCCCCCATCCTCAATCCTGCTTGCTTACCATCAGGTAATCAGTCTGCACAAAAAAATATTCTGAAGTGTTGTGGAAAAAATATCAATCCTTTGCAACCACGATTGCAACTATTGAGAAACCTTCGGAAATGGGTGAGTTGGATCCTGTTACAGTTTTGCGGAATGGGATACCTACACTGTCTCGCTCTGGCCGCCGCGCCTGCCATAGAGCGAGGTCTCAACAGTTAAAAAGGGCAAATAAAACACATAATAAAAATAACACGAATTATATTGCTTCTATAAAACTGCCATAAAACATACGCATAACTTAAAAAATAGATTAACTAGGGCTGATTTTTCAATAGTCAGATAAATGTTATCTGAGGTATAAAACTGTTGCTGTCACTGTCTTATACAAACATTCTGACGCGATAGCATCATAATTATTCCGCAGGTAACTTTTATCTAACTATTGAAAAATCGGCTATAAAAATAATTATAATAATAAACTGTATCATCTATTTACACTTATTATAACAAATGTGAGATTAAAACAAAGATTTTTAATAATAATAATCAAAGGAATGTAGGCAGCTGACGAACATTCCGTTATTCCAACAATATTTTTAATAGTACACCATTATATTATAGTTATATGTATAATTATACTATAGACATTTGCAAGGCTGGCGATTTAATAACCGCCAATGTTTTTACAAATGCAACGTCATCGTCATCATCAGCCTATAAGTGCCCACTGCTGAGCAAAGGCCTCTTCTCACACAGAGAAGGTTGCAACGCATTTTTATAACATTTCAAATAATTTGACTGAGAAAACTACCAAACTGACACCCAAACAAAATATTACAATTCAACTGTCCGTAACAACTACGCAACGTTAGCGCAAGAATATTTTGTGTGATCTTGAATAATATGTTATTGAAAATTGTTACTTAAAACATACGCAATACGACACAAATATCACAAAAAATGCTTGCATAGTTATACTAGGTAAACGGCCGGAATTAATGAAGGATTTTAAACAAATCTCTGGGTTTATGCTTCGACAGAAATTCTATGAAAATAACTAGTGCTGGCTTGATTATTTATTTATAGGTGTTAAATAGAATCAGATAGGTATTAAATACTGCATATTATTATAGTCTCAAGGACATTTTTATCTCGTTTGGTCCAGCCATCCTGACGCTGCGACACGAATGGGTCGGCTCGACCGGAGTGATACCACGGCCTCACAGAAAACCGGCGTCAAATAACCACAGCGTTGTGTTTCGCCGCGTGAGTGAGGTTACCGGAGAAATCCTTCCCCTCCCCCAATCCCAAAATCTCACTAGTAGCTAGCTTTCTGTTGTTGACAGTGTCCATGGGCGGCGCTGATTGCTTACCATCAGGAAATCAACTCGTTTGCTGCTATTACATGAAAAAAAACTGAGCAATTTGTTGAGAAGAAAATCGCTAATCCCCATTAACTCCGGCCAATAATCACCAGCTACTTCTTACTTTAGGACAGTGTAAGACCTTCGTAACCCAGTCCGTCGGGGTCGGGGCACTCCATGCGGTTCTTGAGATGCTGCAGCGTGTTATGGAAGTGTTTCGTGATCTGTTCCACTTCCTCAGACTGGTCTAGATTCGCTAGTTCCTCGCGGATTTTTTGTATTACCTGTTGAAAAAATTAAATAAATTAGTAGAAGTTCATGGTTTGATATTTAGGTGATTTAAGCTTTAAGGTGCGCGAACGCCGGCGTTCGTTTGGGATTTTGTTTTTTTTCTGTATAACTTGTGAATTAATAGCTGGGTATAACAGCATGGTGACAAATTTATGTACCTAACGGATAATCATTATAATTTGTTTTGATGTGAATGTGGTATTTCATATATTTCGTAGACTTATACAATTTCTAAATATCAAAAATTTTGTTTGTTGTAGCTGTATTTTAAAAACAAAATATTATTGGAATAAGCTTAGAATAAAATTATTCCTTCAAAAAAAAACATTGCCCCACACTAGGATTTTCTCCTGTGTTGTAAGTGTATTTACAAACATACTATTTCACAAATACATCACACCCAGACCCGGAACTACAATTTGTGGATCACACAAAGAGTTGTTCCGTGCGGGAATCGAACCGCCCGCACCAACCGTGCAGTCATTAAACTATATGTATAGGCAATTAAAAAAATATTCTTCGTCTTAAAAATGTATTGAAATATGTTTACTAACGGCGTCTATAAGCGTGGTGGTGAGACAAGCGTTCCCCCTCTCGCGGAGCAGGGCGTACCGGCCGAGCAGCTCGGCCAGTAGCTGCGCCTGTACGCCGCCGTCCATGCATTGCTGCGCCACGCGCGCCGCCTTCTTCAGGCAGTCCAGGGCGCGGGACGCGTCGTTTAGAGGCCACTGGGAATCAAAGTCATAGTCAAAATAATTAATTACCAACTAAACCATACGCTTGCTATTGAAACGTCAAAAAAGAATCCGGTAGTTTGCAACTAGTCAAATTCAATACTTTTATCCAAATGTCAAAAACGATACTTTTCTATGAAATTTGTATGAAATACTGAGTTGTGACGTCATAGTATTTTGGTGTCAAATAGCTTACTTATTTCTTAAAAATTTGCTAAAAAATATCTAAAATTTTGTGTATCGATCGATCGATGAATACAAGTATAGTTATTTTTCAATATTTTATTATATTGAAACGTCGAATTAATTTATTTATGACCCAGGAAACTACCCAATTATACAGTCTGATCGTCATTGAAGCTAGGTGCTCGTTCCAATGTGTTTTTGATGATAAGCAACACTAAAGGAGTTACAAATGCGTTGCCGACCTTTTGGGTGTTAGGGAATAGAGAGGGATCGGGGGAGAGGAAGATTGGCTTTCCGGTAACCTAACTCACACGGCGAAACACAGACGGAGTGATACCACGGCCTCACAGAAAACCGGCGTGAAATAACCAAAGACTTGTGTTTCGACGTGTGAGTGAGGTTACCGGAGGCCCAATCCTTCCCCTACCCCAATCCCTCCTCAATCCCTTAATCTCCAAATCCCTAATCCCTAAAAGGTCAGTAACGCACTCGTAACTCCTCCGTTGCGGGTGTCCATAGGCGGCGCTGATTGCTTACCATCAGGTAATCAGTCTGCTCGTTTGCCGACCTATTCCATAAAAAATATTCTTAGTTCTAGATGACTAAAATTGAACGAACCTGCTTCCCATCTTTAGGCGCCTTCCAGAAGAGATGTGCGCAGAGTGCGACGGCCCGGCTCTGGTCGGGCTTCTTCAGCAGTTTACTCGCCGCCAGCGCGCACTGAGTACGCATTGGTTCTGCGTTCTCCGCACCTACGAGAATTCAAGAATGTAATCTAAGTATAGTAATGTAACTTTTGATCCGACAGACAAACTATGTGTATAGTTAAGTCGGACGTTTTTATATTTGAAAGAAAAAAAGAAAAATAAATTTCTAATTTTTCTTTCCTTTTTATAATTTATAATTTATTTATGTCCTAAACCTTAAAATAAAATGTGCCTGTTTGATCAATAGTTGATTTGAATACGCTAATCTCCGAACTACTGGTGTGAATAGAACAATACTTTTTGTATTGGTTAGTCTGTTTATCAAAAATATTTCCAAAATTCTTTCACTGATAGATAGCTACAATGTTGTAAGGCTATAAATTATACTTGATTTGCGAGTTTTACACCGGGTTTCTGAAAGGCTTGTCAACGCTAAAATCGCCTGTCAAATCTCTTGTCATCTGATTGGTTGTTAATAATTCAGTCAACCAATCAGATGACTTGACAAGAGATTAAATTGATTTTAACATTGATCAGCCTTTCGGAAACCAAGGGTTAGTCGAGCTATCGTTTTAAACGCTGCTGTTTTCAACATCCCGATATACACAACTTCCTGCAGTCGGAGGCAAGTATAAAAATAAAATAGAATTTGACTTTATAACTGTCAAGATCATTTACCACCATACAAACTATAGTAAACTAACTTCCGCCCGCGGCTTCGCCCACGTGGTATGTTGATAAAAAGTAGCCTATGTCCTATTCCGGAGTGTTTCCTATGCCTTAATATTTCTTTCCTTTTCCGTTAAGGCTGTAATTGAGTGACAAACATCCAAACATCGTAACTTTCGCATTTATAATAATAGAGTTAGATTACAAATGACTTACCGAAGCAATTAATCTGTTCAAATGTAGCTATGATGAGTGTAATGGCCGCTAGTTGCGCCTTGCTGTCGGAGATCTCGTCCTCGTATAGAGAGAATGCTTGCGATAGAAACTCGTAGGCGATCGTCTCATGGTTCGCGAAACCGATCTCACTGATAGCTAATGCGCCTTGGAGATATAGTCTGTAGGATAATTATTTATATAATTTTATACGTTATGTTTCGCTGTGTGATTGAGGTTAGCGGAGACCCTATACTCGCCTTTCATCCTTTTTTTGTGAGGGGAAAATCATCAAATGACTTAGACTCTTACTGACTAAAAACCCCCCCTGTTCTTTCTCCTGCTCTGGGCCGAGGTCGCGGTGCTTCATTGGCTTACCCCGCAGCCCCGGCTGAACATCAGCCCTTTAGGGCCCCGTCTGTGGTGGTCTATTGGCTCTTTGAGGCGCGCGCGGAACGCTACGCGCCGTACGCTCGGGTCTGGTTGTGGTTGGGCGGCGAGCTGCCCTTACTCGCCGTCCGCAGACCCGTACTTACGGTGGCCGGAGATCATCTCTCGATCCCCGACGCCCGGAAAGTCGCCTATTGAGGCGGCTGAGGCGTGAGGAGGAGGATTGCTCCCTCACGCGGGCCGCCTCCCTCTTTGCGACCTTTCATCCTTGATCCCCAAACACGTATCGTCGTACCACGCCCCCCCTTACCGTAAATCCCTAATAACCCACAAAAGGTCGGCAACGCACTTATAGTACACCTATGGTGTTTATAGGCGGCGTCGATTGCTTACCATCAGGTAAATCGTATGCTCGTTAGCCGGCCTATCTCACATGAAGAAATATTTACAATAAATAGAGACACGTGAGATGTCATGGTGGCGCTTGTCATGCATGAGGGTGGGGGCAAAACCCTTCAAATACCAATTTGTCTGTTTTACATCATCGTCAGCCTATAAGTGCCCACTGCTGAGCAAAGGCCTCTTCTCGTACGAGGAAGGTTAGAGCGTTAATCACCACGCTTGCTCAATGCGGGTTGGCGATTTCAAACTTATAATTAGAAATTATAAGTCCAGGTTTCGTCACGATGTTTACCTTTACCTTATGTCAGTGGCACCTCGGAAAAAGTCACATTGGTACTTGCCAGGTTTCGAACCCACACCCTCATGCATGAGAAGCGGGCTCCTTAACCTCCGGGCCACCACGACATGTTTTACATATAAATAAGGTACATACAAGTATCCTTATGCTTTTTAACGTAAGTCGTAATGGAAAAAAACATTTCAATAATTATTTGTGGGCTAAATCCTGGTTTTACCTTCAAAATTGCATATAATGGTCTGTTTTAAGTAAACTTGTACCTGAGCGGTAGTTCAGCTAACTCAGCCTTGACCAGCATGGTGATAGTTTGGTGACAGAACTGGAATATTTTCTGGCATTTCTTCTCCCACATATCGTCCTAAAACAACATCATATAACCCTTGTTATCACTGCACAGGCTGTTATATTAATTTATAAGAAATTATTATGAACCCCGGTGTGGCTCGAAACTAGTCGGGCATGCTCTAAATCTTCTTTTTTGGGACAAGCCCGATCCAATTTCCCTTAACTGCTGCAAATCCTGTAAGCTAGAATCTACAGTAGATACAACCATGAAAACACCGAAACACTGAACGGCGCGTCCCAGGGACATGAATGATGAAATAAATCAGAAGATATTGAGCAAAACTTCTTATTCTCATAACACCGACAACGAACTAGCAACCTTTCTGTTGTTGCGGATATCAATGGGGGGCGTTAATTGCTTACCATCAGGTAATCGGTCTTTTCGTTTGCATATCTATACTAATATTATGTGACTGGTGAGTTTGTTTGTTGGTTTGCACGCGCTAATATCCAGAACTAATGGTTTAAATTGAATAATTCTTATTGTGTTTGTTAGTATATTTATCGAGGAAGCCTTTAGACTATAAAACATCACGCTACGATTTGTAGGAGTCGAGCAGCGTGTGAAACCGTGTGACAGAAGCTAGTCACATAGAAAATGACTCACCGCGTCCTTAAGCTGCTTGTAAGTATGCGCGAGTCTGTAGGCATGGAACACGATGGGTGGGAATGTATGCTGTATGCGCGCCGCCCCGCCCGCCTGCAGCGCCTTGCGCGCCGCCGATAGTATCAGGTACTGACGGTCCGCTGACTCCGATTTGAAGTGATGGATCAGTCTGTTGGAGACATCATTTACAGTAAAGTTAATAAATACAACTACAGTCTACGTTTGTATTATTATTTCGACATCATTGACAAACGGTGAAGAATGATGGATGAATCATCATGAGACAAGCTGGACTTATTTTACTAGCCTACTAATCCCAATAATCTTTATAATCCTACTATCCGACTAATCCCAATAATCTTTTTAATTCTACTATCCTACTAATCCTACTATCCTACTAATCCTACTAATTATATCCTACTAACCTTTCCATCCAACTATCCTACTAATCTTTCCATCCTACTAATCCTAATGATCTTTCAAATCCTACTATCCTACTAATCCTTCTATCCTACTAATTCTACTTTCCTGCTAATTATATTTGTGAAAGTTTGTAGAGTGTTTGAGAATGTACGGATGTATGTTTTTTATTCTTTCACGCAAAAAAGCATGAACCGATCTGGTTAAAATTTGGAATGAAGATAATTCATACCCTGGATTAACACACGCGGTTTTTTATCAACATACGTAACTTCTAAGTATTAGTTTGAAATCGCCGATCCTTTTCGAGCAAGCATGGTGATAAATGCTCAATCCTTCTCCGTGAGAGAGGAGAGGCCTTTGCTCAGTAGTGGGGACTTCTGGGCTGATGATGTGATGTGAAAGACTTCGCTATCGTTCCAAGTAAATAATAAGTCTTCTGTTTTCATAATTATTCAAAGTTATTTGAAATGTGTGGTACAAAATGTCGTGGTGGCCAGGAGGTTAAGGTTTCGAAACCTGGCAAGTACCAATGTGACTTTTCCCGAGTTATATGTACTTTCTATTGTTATTTAGACACCACTGACATACGGTGAAGGTAAACACCGTAAGGAAACCTGGACTTGTAATTTCTAATTAGAAGTTTGAAATCGCCAACCCGCATTGAGCAAGCGTGGTGATTAATGGTCTAACCTTCTCCGTTTGAGAAGAGGCTTTTGCTCAGCAGTGGGACTTACATGCTGATGATGTTGATGTTGATTTGAAATGCGAGGAACTAGCCCATATTCTTATATTCATTTTTCGTATAACAGTCATTGTAACAGTCCCTGATTGCTATGTTTCATTTCTGACCACTATCGAACCCAATAAACACGTTGCCATGGTAACATACCTGGCCAGGAGTCCCTGCTCCTCCATGAAGTCCTCGACATCAGGTTCTGCTGTGGGCTGGTCGGGCTGGTCCCTCACTAACACGTCTAACATCGATAGGACTGACTCCACCTGGATACAACAAAATACGAGCATATGGATTACCTGATGGTAAGCAATCAGCGCCACCCATGTACACACCCGCAAAAACGGAGGAGTTATTTATTTAATCTTTATGCAACATAATATTACATAGGCGGACTTAATCTCCTCTCGCGAAACACGGTAGTTTCCAACTATTCGAATTCAATACTTTTATCCAAATGTCACAAACGATAATTTTCTATGAAATTTGTATGAAACACTCGAGTTATGACGTCATAATATTTTTAAGCCAAACAGTTTACTTATTTTTTTAAATTTAGCTAAAAGATATCTTAAACTTACACCCGGTTTCCGAAAGACTGATCAATGTTAAAATCAATTTAATCTCTTGTCAAGTCATCTGATTGGTTGACTGAATTATCAACAACCAATCAGATGACTTGACAAGAGATTTAACAGGAGATTAGTTAATTTTAGCGTTGACAAGCCTTTCAGAAACCGGGTGTAAATGTATCGATCGATCGATGAATAAAAGTATAGTTATGTTTCAATATTATATTGTATTGAAACGTCGAAACAATTTATTTTTGACCTAGGAAACTAGCCAATGAAGGGATGGGGGGCGGGGGATTGAACAAAATCTCCCGACATCTCACCAAAGGGGGAGGAAGGGACACAAAAAAAAACTACTCACATCCTCCGGAGTAGATATCAAGCAATCAGTTTCCAGTACATCATTGATGAGGTGGACCGCTATCATGATTCGTCCAGGATGGTTCAAGTGTCTGATGAGAGGAGCATAGTTCTGCAGCTTGATCAGGGTAAGGATATTCTTGTAATGGTCTGCTGGGAGCTTGAGGATCTTCATCAGTTCCTTGAAGACAGCTGTATTGTGTTCTAGATGGGTCTTGCCGCTGGAAAAAAGAATTGAGATGGTCATTTATAATAGACTAGCTAATCTCGGGCGGATTTTCTTACTGCTCGGCTCATATATCGTAGCGTGATGTTTTATCTATCTATCAGTGGAAGAATTTTAAAAATCTGACCAGCGGTTCCAAAGATTTCCCCCTACATACTAATTTACAAATTACAAATTTTACCTCTTTATAATATTAGTATAGAATAATTAAGCTCCATATCCAACAACAAACCCCTTAATTTTTTGAATTGTGGCTCAACGCCGGTTTTCTGTGAGATCCTGGCATGACTCCGGTCGAGCCAAAGCATGGCCCTTCCAAAATTTTAAATAAAATAAGAAACTACAGAAAAATATGAAAAAGTAAATTAAAATCCTTTGAAAGCCAACTCTCTAATTTACAACCTACTTATTAAATTATATATTCTTATAAAAATTAAATGAAAATAAATACATAATAAATTGTAAAATACTTTACCTAGCTTGATGTATGTCGGCGCAAATCTTGTCTGTGTGCGCGAGTACCCGGTCGACGTAGTTCAGTTTGTCAGGGTGGCACCGCTGAGCCAACTTCAGTAATGCCAACTGAAGGGACAACATGTCTTCCGGGGGCATGTCTGTGCGGCTCTGAATGAAATAAATTTTTTATTGCTACATTGTATAAAATAAAGTAAAAAAACAAATGAAAATCACACATTTTCTTACTTTAAATTTGGAATGTTATTCTTTACAATTTAAACTTTCAATGATACCAATACCAGCCAGATATAAATAGTATAGCCAAAGTGATTTTATTACAAGTTCATTAATACTATATCGAGAAAATACTTTTTTCAACACACTTCCTCATAAAGTGGCTCTTATTGTCATGACACTTGTTATCAAACTGTGACTTTTTCATTACTATTATTTAGTAGTGAGTAATAGAGTTCTTTTTTTAAATCATTGGTTGTTTTACTCTCACACTTGAAAAGCATTATTCGGAAGTATATTGAAAAACGTCGTATGATACACGTGTTTATTGATGATAATCACCAACATTACACATTTGAACCATAAAGTACTACTACATTACCTGTGTGATTGCAGCCACTTGGTCTGAGAATACTTCAAACAGCTGAACCTCTTGCTCTTTCCCGTCTTCTAGAACCACGCTCAAATTTATATTACCTTCGTTTCTCTGTAATATAAACGTAAATATCGTATCAGCGTTAAAATCGGAAAGAAATAAATATTTTTGCAACATATAGATGGCGCCACTTACGATTTAAGCAATTTGGGTTGAATTAAATTTCGTTGATAAGAAAGAAACAATATACTTTTTGCAATATCTAGATGGCGCCACTTACGATTTAGGTAACTTGGGTTGAATTACCTTTCGTCGTTATACATTTTAGAATAGAATACCTCACTGGGATACGCGTGTTATCTGGATAAACTTAGTATAATTTCTATGAAAGAACATGAAATAATTTCCATGAAAATGGGCTCCACACACAATTGGGTAATGGCAACGCACTTGTAAGTCCTTTGGTGTTATTCCATGGGCGGCGCCGATTGCTTACCATCAAGTAAATCCGTCTGCGATATGCCATGAAAAAATTACCTGGCTGTAGGTTGCGAGCCTCTCAATGAGAGCAATGATAATATTCTTGATGTTGACACCCGGCTGTAGCTCCGCGCATGACTTCAGGAACGGTTGGAGGTTCGCCAGGTGGAATTCGTCTGGGAATACCTGCATAAGTAGATATGCATAAAATAAAATTGTGATGTCAATACCCTTTTTTTGTCAGGGGAAAATCATCCAATGACTTCTCCCGCCCAGGGCCGGGCGGGAGGGAGTGTCAGACTCTTACTGACTAAAAAACCTGTTCCTTCTCCTGCTCTGTGCCGAGGTCGCGGTGCCTCAATGCGCTTACCCCGCAACCCCGGCTGAACATCAGCCCCATTGGGCCCCGTCTGTGGTGGTCTTTTGGCTCTTTGAGGCATGTCAATACCCTTAAGATTATCATAGGCTGATGGCCTATAAGTGCCCACTGCTGAGCAAAGGCCTCTTCTCACACTGAGAAAGAATGAATTCTCATTAGTCACCACTTTTGTTCAAAGGACTTATAATACGGTACTTTCCAACTAGTCAAATTCAATACTTAATATCAATACTTTTATCAATATTTTTATTCAAAATGTCAAAAACGATACATTTCTATGAAATTTGTATGAAACTCCAAATCATGACGTCACAGTATTTATGAGCGAAATAGCTTGACTACTTATTTCTTAAATATTTCGAAAATTATGTGTATCGACAGATCGATGAATAAAGGTAAAGTTTTATTTTTTAATATTTTATTGTATTGAAACATTGAATCCATTTATTTTACTTCTAATGACCTAGAAAACTACCCTATTAGAAATTATAAGTCCAGGTTTTTCTCAAAATGCTTTCCTTTTCAATGGAGTAGGTTGGAGGAAGCCTTTCATCATCATATCATCATATCAGCCATAGGACGTCCACTGCTGAACATAGGCCTCCCCCATTGACTTCCAGATAGGCCGGTTGGAAGCGACCTGCATCCAGCGGCTTCCTGCGACCTTAATCAGGTCGTCTGTCCACCTTGCGGGTGGACGTCCTACGCTGCGCTTGCCGGTACGTGGCCTCCACTCGAGAACCTTTCTGCCCCAGCGGCCGTCGGTTCTACGCGCTATGTGCCCTGCCCATTTCCACTTCAACTTACTAATCCGCTGGGCTATGTCGGAAACCTTTGTTCGTTTGCGGACATCCTCGTTTTTTATACGGTCTCGCAAAGAAACTCCGAGCATAGCCCTCTCCATAGCGCGCTGAGCGACCTTGAGCTTCTTTATAAGGCCCACAGTAAGAGACCACGTTTCAGTTCCATAGGTCATCGCTGGTAACACACATTGATTATAGACTTTCGTCTTAAGGCACTGAGGTAAGTTGGACGAGAAGATGTTGCGTAGTTTCTCGAACGCTGCCCATCCAAGTTGGATTCGACGATTGACCTCCTTCTCGAAATTGGACCTACTTAGCTGGATCACTTGTCCCAGGTATACATATTCGTCAACAATTTCGAGGTTAGAACTCCCAACTGATATCGGATAGGGCGTGACATGGGCGTTTGCCATGACTTTCGTCTTGTCCATGTTCATTCGGAGCCCTACCTGTTGAGAAACTCTACAGAGGTCATCGAGCATTGTGCTCAGATCCTCCAGCGATTCTGCCATGACCACAATGTCGTCGGCAAACCGGAGGTGAGTGATGTACTCGCCGTTGATGTTGATGCCAGATCCTTTCCATTCCAAGAGCTTGAAAGCGTCTTCCAATACAGCGGTAAACAGTTGCGGAGATATGACGTCTCCTTGCCTTACACCTCGCTGCAGAGGAATATTCTTCGTGCTCTGGTTTTGTACTTGGACCGACATAGTGGCGTTTGTGTATAAGCACTTCAAAACCTCGATGTACCGAAAGTCAATATGGCACCGCTGGAGAGATCTTAACACAGCCCAAGTCTCGATCGAATCAAAAGCCTTCTCATAGTCCACAAACGCCAAGCATAGTGGCAAGTTATACTCCTCGGTCTTCTGTATAACTTGCCGCAGCGTATGGATGTGGTCTATGGTACTATAGCCTTTCCGGAAACCGGCTTGTTCGGGAGGCTGGAAGTCATCGAACCTACGTGTGAGACGATTTGTGATGACCCTCGAGAATAGCTTGTAGACATGGCTCAGAAGTGAGATGGGTCTATAATTTTTCAGTAGAGTATTATCTCCCTTCTTGAAGAATAGTACCACCACACTTCTGCTCCATGCCGCCGGCGTTGCTCCTTCGAATATGAAGGAGTTGAAGAGCTTCTGAAGGACTCTCAGTACCGGCGTTCCGCCCGCTTTCAGAAGCTCTGATGTGATTCCGTCCTCGCCCGGCGCCTTGTTGTTCTTGAGCTGCTTGAGAGCCATCCTAATCTCGTATAGGCTGATGTCCGGGATATCCTCGGTATAGTGTCGGGTGAGTTTAGCTCTTGGATCGGCGACTGAGCTAACAGGTTTAGTGACCGATGTGTATAGCTGCCCATAAAACCTCTCGATCTCACCCAAAACTCCGGCCTTCGTCGACGCCACACTGCCATCCTCCGCCTTCAGCTTCGTCAGCTGTGTTTGCCCAATAGACATGTCCCTAGCGAACACTTTGGAGCCTTGGTTCCGCTCTATCGCTTCTTTAACCCTATTGGCGTTAAAGTTGCGGATATCGTGTCGCATGGACTTCCATATTTGTCTATTGAGCTGCCGATGTGCTTTAGCATCGGCAGAGGTCTGGAGTACCATAGCACGTCGTTCTGCCATGAGTTTGAGGGTGCGATCGGTAAGCTTCTGCGGTCTGTCTTTTCGGCGGGGTCTAAAAAACTTCAGACGGGATCTTTCCAGCTTTATATTGATATTCAATGTGCCTCTGACCAGTCGGTGATCGCTGCCGGTTTTTACCTTATGGATCACAGAGACATCATTGAACATCTGTCGCTTTGTTGTCATGATGAAGTCGATCTCATTTTTTGTGGAACCGTCCGGGCTCATACAGGTCCATTTCCTGTGAGACGGCTTCTGGAAAAAGGAGTTCATCGCAAAGAGGAACTCAGCCAGTCTCTGTCCCCTGTGATTCCGTTGCCCATACCCGAATTGCCCCACTCTCAGCTCGTTATCGCCTGTAGTTCCCAGTTTCGCGTTGAAGTCCCCCATAACAACATTGAAGTAGGTTTTATTAGTATGTATGGCCCTACTTATGTCCTCATACATAACCTCTACTTCCTCGTCTGGGTGTGTCGAGGTCGGTGCATAAACCTGGATAACCTTCAACGAGTATCTATTGGATACCCTGAGTATCAGGTACGCCACCCTGCTCGACACACTTTCGATGGTAAGAATGTTGTTGACAAGGGACCTGTGGACGAGGAACCCGACACCACCTTGGGACAGTTGTTCGCCCTCCCGGTAGTAGAATAGGTTGCCGGATCTTAGGGTTATCGTGTCCTCGCCCTCTCGTCGGACTTCTGACAACCCCACAATACTCCAGTGCAACCTACCCAATGCCTCTTCCAGCTCAATAATCTTCTCGTCTGTCCTCAAAGTGCGAACATTGTGTGTTACCAGGGCCAGTCGTCGTCGGGGGTGGTAGCCTTTTCTCCACCTCCGGGGATTCTTAGCACCCCGTGTCCCACCGTTACCCTGACCGCTACCACGGTGGCCAGGAACGGCGGGACTGCCGGAGACTGGGGGCCTGGTTTTATCTGAGCAGTTCATATGGGGGGAATTTGCCAATACTCACCACGCTTGGCAGGCGGGTTGGCGAGCGCAGTTAGGTCACCGATAATTTTTAAAGAATGCTGCTCCCCATTCCTCGGTGTCTGGTCGCAGTTTTAGGACGTACCCGGGTCCTGCGGAGGAAGCCTTTGCCAACTGGGAAACGGACTTACAGAAAGCAAAGAAATGTCAAATGTATGAATATTGTGACGGAAAAGTGGTTCAAACTCTTTGACATCATGACGTCAATGGATGGTTGTCAAACGTTGCCTAGAGATTGTAAATTTCGTCGTGAATTGTCAACACGAGTTGGCCTAATCGGTAAGGCGTGTGGATTACACCACAGAGACCCCGAGTTCGAGTCCCGCCGTAAACATGAAGTTTTTTAGTTGATAGAAGTTTTGTCGAACTTTCTGGAATTATTTGTGTGAAAAAAGTGAAAAATTAAAGAGCGAGAAGGAGAATAAATAAAAATGAATAACGAAATTATTGGAAGGTTCTGGAGGCATGACGATCAAAAAGAATAACGAAATTGAATGTTCCAGAACCTGACCGGGGGTATATAAGCGGAACTGCAGCTCACCGCTGGCAGTTGAGTTCTAAGTCTAAAGCGATTCGGAAGAAAAGGAAGAAGTGAAAAAGAAGAAAAGTGAGTGAAATAGTGAAGTGCAGTGAAATAGTGAACTTGTTAACGGCAAAGTTGTGTCAGTCGGCCGGACTCTGCTGGAGAGGAACGCCGATAACTTAACTCCGTGGACGCTGTAACTTAAGTGCAATAGAAAGTCTGAAAACCGGTATTAGTGTTTCATTTCATCCAATCCCGTAACCCAAGCCCGCATAGTCAGGAACGTGACGTCAGGCACGTAACATTTGGTGTCAGAAGTGGGATTGGAGAAAAATGCCGCTAGTGCCGCAGGACGTAAGAGGAGTGAGTACCCGTGCAATGTCAGAAGCGCAGCGTGTGAGGGAAGAGGGTGCTGCAGCTCAAACCAGCGATGCAGAATGCTACAGCTGCAGCAAATGATGGCAGAGCAAGCGCGCCGCCAAGAAGAGCAAGCGCGCTGTCAGGCAGAACAGCTGCGGGAGCTGAAAGAAGAGCAAGCGCGCCGCCAAGAAGAGCAAGCGCGCCGCCAAGAAGAGCAAGCACGCTGTCAGGCGGAACAGCTACGGGAGCTGAAAGAAGATCAAGCTCGTCGCCAAGAGGATCAAGCTCGCCGCCAAGATGAGCAAGCGCGTTGCTTGGAAGAGATGCATAAGGATTTCACGAAGGGACTGCAAAAGGCTGTCGAACGGGTACAAGAAGTGGAGGAAGGGTTAGGCAAGTTGGAACATCGCGTCATGGCGATAGAGGAGAGAGTGAAAGAAGAGATCTCCAAAATCAAGCAGGAAGTGACAAGTTCAAGCCCTTTGAAGAGCCGAAGCCGTCTTGCAGCCGTTTTTGACGCCCCAAATGTGGCCTCAAGCGCAACGAAAGGGCTCAAGATTCCCCATTACGACGGAACAACATCCTGGAACGCGTTCAAGCTACAGTTTGAGACACTTATGGAGGCTTATGGTTGGACTCAGAAGGAAGCACAGTCAGCCCTCACCCTGGCCCTCCGTGATCAAGCGCTCTCAGTGCTGGAAGCTATCGGCGCAAATGGGGATCTCAGCTTTAGTGCCCTCCTCGACGCACTTGAGGCACGTTTTGGAGACAGCCACCTCGAACACGTGTACAGAGCGCAATTAAAAGAGCGTACTCAGCGTGCTAATGAGAGTCTACAGCAATGGTCCGTGGAAATCGAGAAACTTGTGCGTCGAGCTTTCCGGTCGACTCCGTCAATGATTGAAGGCACGCTTCTACAAGCGTTCATTGACGGTATTCGGGACCCCGAAGTACGAGCTGTTGTTCATCTGGGCCATCACAAGAACATGAAAGAAGCTCTGGCCCATGCATTGGAAGTGGAAGCCGTACGTGGCAACTCCCGTACCTTACGTCTGCGGGAAATGACGACAACGGAGCAGGTACCTCCGCGCCGTCGGAACTTTATGTGCTATGGATGTGGAGATCGTGGGCACATACGGAGCGACTGCCCGAAGAAGATGAACCGCCAGGACGCGGCGGTCTCAACTTCTGACCAGCAGGGAAACTTAAATCCAGCCAGGGCTGCGGGGTGGGCGCTGGCTGGTAGTGGAACAACCCCAACAATCTACATCAAGCAAACCAACGATGGAAATACTCTGGTAATAGACGGTCAAGTAAATGGGAAAAACAGTCAGCTAACATTAGATACTGGAGCTTCAAGGACGGTGATAAATGTTCGGCTGCTCGAGCAAAATATCAGGAAACACCTTAAACCAATTGTTGGCCTACAAATGAAATCAGCTAACGGCCAGTGCATACCGATAAGTGGAAAACTGCATGTAACAATCAAAATTGGGGAACGTGTTTATCGACATGAGGTTATTGTGGCCAAAATTCTGGATGACTGCATCCTGGGACTTGACTTCCTGCAAGGGCACCAGTGTAACATCGACTTAAAATCTGGAGTTTTACTATGTGGAACTGAGGAAATTCCGATGAAGGGTGGAACCCTGGGAAAAGTTTGCTGTTTAAGAAGAACTGTTCTTGCACCAAAATCACAGACTCTCGTACCAATCGCATTACCTAGGAGGAAGGAAGGAAGTTTACCTCGAAGGTGCGCTGTGATTGATAAATCGGAACACGTAAGCTCATGGCTACCGGCAAGAACTGTCGTGGGGTCATCTGATGTCAACCGCATTCCGGTATTCAACTACAGTGATTCAAAAATTACGATTGAAGAAGGAGAGCCTGTGGGCGTATTGGAAGAAGTGGCCTGGATAAGAAAATGCTCGGACAATCTTGTGAAGAAGGACAACTTCAGGAATTTGACTTTGAAATCGAACATCGCGGAGGAAGAATTCATGGCAACGCAGATGCATTATCGAGACGCCCATGCGTGGAAGGTTGCAAGCATTGTGCCAAGAAGGAAACTGCTTTTCTTAAGGTGATAAGGACTGATACTGTTGACGAGGCATGGGGAGATGATGCGATGAAATTAGAACAGGAAAGAGATGCAGATATTAAACCAATACTGGAGTGGCTACGAAGTGGTAACAAGCCAAGTTGGAGTGACGTCGCCCAATATAGCGCGGTAACGAAAGGTTTATGGGCACAGTGGAAAAGCCTTACGCTGCATAATGGACTCCTGTGTAGGAAATGGGAATCAACAAACGGCAAGGACGAGCATTTGCAATTGGTGGTGCCTCGTTCAAAAATAAGGGATGTATTAAAAGCGTTCCATGATGGATCTTCTGGAGGACATTTGGGAATTAGGAGGACTTTGGTGAAGATCAAGGAGAGGTTTTATTGGCTGCATTGCAAATATGACGTCGAAGATTGGTGCCGGAAATGCACTAGTTGTGCAGCTGTCAAGGGTCCACAAACAAGAAGCAGAGGGGCGATGAAAATCTACAATGTTGGTATGCCTTGGGAGAGAATAGCCTTAGACATCGCTGGACCATTTCCAATCACTGATTCGGGCAATCGCTACGTTTTAGTGGTTATGGATTATTTTACAAAATGGCCGGAGGTCTTTGCCATACCGAATCAAGAGGCAGTAACTGTAGCCACGAAGTTGGTAAACGAGGTATTCACCCGATTCGGAGTGCCCCTGGAGATGCACAGTGATCAAGGACGGAACTTTGAATCCCAAGTTTTTCAGGAAACTTGTAAACTTTTGGGAATCCATAAGACTCGAACGACCCCTTATCATCCACAGTCAGATGGAATGGTCGAACGTTTCAACCAAACATTGGAGCGACACTTAGCAAAGGTGGTTGACAGCCATCAGAGAGATTGGGACACTTACATACCTCTCTTCTTGCTTGCCTATCGGACTGCTGTACATGAAAGTACCGCAAAGACGCCTGCATTTGCAAATTTTGGAAGGGAATTGAGATTACCGGCAGATCTTGTATCGGGCTGTCCACCTGGCGACACTCGCACCGAGTTTGGCGATTACATAAGCGAGTTAAGGGCAAAAATGTTGGACATTTATGAGCAGATCAGGGAGGCCGGTCTTCAAGCTAGTGATCGCGCAAAGACGCGCTATGATCGACGAGCTAATTCTGTTGGGTTTGAAGAGGGGTCATTGGTCTGGCTTCATAATCCAGTCAGAAGGAAGGGAAAATCTCCGAAGCTGCAACCGAGTCGGGAAGGTCCTTATGAGATAGTCACGAAGATCAATGACATTACTTACAGAATTCGGAAGACTTTAAGGAGCCCTTTGAAAGTTGTCCATATAGACAGGTTGGCTAGGTATTACGGCAGCAATGATGCTCGGGACGAGCAAATCTAAGAGGAGGGCAGTGTGACGGAAAAGTGGTTCAAACTCTTTGACATCATGACGTCAATGGATGGTTGTCAAACGTTGCCTAGAGATTGTAAATTTCGTCGTGAATTGTCAACACGAGTTGGCCTAATCGGTAAGGCGTGTGGATTACACCACAGAGACCCCGAGTTCGAGTCCCGCCGTAAACATGAAGTTTTTTAGTTGATAGAAGTTTTGTCGAACTTTCTGGAATTATTTGTGTGAAAGAAGTGAAAAATTAAAGAGCGAGAAGGAGAATAAATAAAAATGAATAACGAAATTATTGGAAGGTTCTGGAGGCATGACGATCAAAAAGAATAACGAAATTGAATGTTCCAGAACCTGACCGGGGGTATATAAGCGGAACTGCGGCTCACCGCTGGCAGTTGAGTTCTAAGTCTAAAGCGATTCGGAAGAAAAGGAAGAAGTGAAAAAGAAGAAAAGTGAGTGAAATAGTGAAGTGCAGTGAAATAGTGAAGTGCAGTCAGTTAAGTGAGTTAAGTTAGCGTGAACGGCAAAGTTGTGTCAGTCGGCCGGACTCTGCTGGAGAGGAACGCCGATAACTTAACTCCGTGGACGCTGTAACTTAAGTGCAATAGAAAGTCTGAAAACCGGTATTAGTGTTTCATTTCATCCAATCCCGTAACCCAAGCCCGCATAGTCAGGAACGTGACGTCAGGCACGTAACAATATTTAAGTTGTGAAAAATAACATTTGAGTGCATTAATAATTAGCATGAGAAACTGTATATCATTTATTTTAAACAGAAAAGAGGCCTAACTCAAAAAATAAGTATTTCAATCTTAAAAATAATGCTTCAATAATAAGGTTCAATTTTGGAATATCCTCATTTTTGAGTCAGTCCTTTTTTCTATATATTATCATGCGTATGGTCCGAACTCAAAGTCAAAATCATTTATTTCAACTAAATCATAAATAGTTACTTTAGTAGTCTGTCAGTCTGTTCGTCAGTGAAGCTATGTGCTCGTTCCAAACTGTAGTTTTGAATGGAGAAGAACGAGCAAGAAACTCCATCGTTACTCTTTTAAAATATAATATTTGTATATAAAAGGAATAAATAATAAAAGGCTTTATTATTTTACTAGCTTTTGCCCGCGACTTCGTTCCTACTACTAAAAACTACCGTGTGTCCTTTCTCGAGTTCCAATCTATGTCTGTACCAAAAATCACCGAAATCGGTCCAGTAGTTTAGGCGTGAAGAAAAGACAGACAGACAGAGTGACTTTCGCATTTATAATATTAGTTTGGATTTTCTTTCCTTTCACGGGACCACAGGATCCCGAACCTTTCCTTGGACGGCGTACGAGGAGCCGAAGCCAACTCGCAGAGGCCCATTGAATAGTTTTAATCTAAATGTGATGGGATATCAGCCGGCAATTATCCCTGTATGCACTATAAAAGTGCACCCAAGGACAATCCCTGGTTGATGCAGGACTATTGTTCAAAATGAACTCACAGAAAACCGGCGTGAAATAACCACTGCGTTGTGTTTCGCCGTGTGAGTAAGGTTACCGGAGGCCTAATCCTTCCCCTTCCCCAATCCCTCCTCAATCCCTAATCCCTAAAAGGTCGGCAACGCACTTGTAACTCCTCCGCTGCGAGTGTCCATGGGCGGCGCTGATTGCTTACCATGAGGTAAACCGCATGCTCGTTTGCCGACCTATTACATAAAAAAAAATGGTAATAGATTATATGGTTATGGGTGTGGGTGGCTCTGGACTGGTAGATGATATTAGTTTGGATTATTATTACCTGTATAATACACTCCATGAGGTACTCCTGTGCTATAGCGTCCCTGCAACTGACCACCTGTTCCAGTATGCCCGGGAGGACCAGCCTCCCATAGTCCTCTACTGTAACAGACTCCAGCTGGGAGAGACGCACCAGGTTGGTTCCTACCAAGATCCGAAGTTCTGATCTTTCACGTTCACGACGTTCCTTGTCTCTGAAGAAAGAAGTTTTAGGCTGGTAGACCATAACAGTTTTCGGATAATTTTCGGACTAAAAATATTTTTGAGCGCCCATGTTTTAGGTAAATATTTAAGCCATTTTTATTTGTTTATAGAACTATTAGAGAAGGTCAGAGTCGAATTTATTATTTCTATTAAACTACAAGTACTTTTGAAATTTATAAATTCCTTTCATAATTTAGATTGAAAAAAAAAAACGAAAAAGACAATCTGTGATTACTCTTTATAATAGAAAATACAAAAATAATTTTGTCAAATTTTTGACTCGTCGCGTTTGCAGGTTTTTTTTTAACTAACGCTGTCCCGCTCTTGGATTTTCTCCTGTGTCGTGGGTGCGTTTAGAAACATACATATTCATAAACACATCACATCCAGACCCAGAATAATAATTTGTGTGTCACATAAAGAGTTGTTCCCGCCCGTTCCGAAACCGTTTGGTTGCAAGTACCGGGCAGTCACGAGTTTTAATCCCAAGTCGAGCAAAATGCGTTTGTATTTACCTGGAGTGACCTTGATGCTGCATCCTGACCCACAGCTTGTTCATCTCGGCGAAGTTCATCAATACAAAGTCGATGGCATCTTTTACCTGAACAGGAAGAACGATTTAAATTATCTGTATTAAGGCCAAGAACGATTTGAATTTTGAATAGTAGTCCCATTTAATGACATTTCGAAATGTCAAAAGAGGTAATGAAATCGTAACGCCAAAAAATTTGGTATAATAATATCGTCTAATCAACTGAAACTATGATTTATTTTTTAGTATTTTATTGTAATGACAAGTCAAATCAATTTGTTTTTGATGAGAAAACTACTCTACAAGCAATGTCAATTTCTATGGTCTACCCTAACAATATCCAAATGCTTCATCTAGCCAAAATTACTTACAACGCCTTCATTTTCGTTCTGTGCCTCAGCAGTGTCAGGAAGCACATTCCTGGTGCACTGCAGGAGGTAGTTCCTCAGGAACAGGCCTCGGAGTGGATGCTGGACCCCTCTGCACATCTCCACCAGATCCTGAAAGATGGAGTGGTTAGAGGAAGTGATTGGGAACTGCTTGCTCAGCACCTACGGTTGCGGATACTAAATCAAGAAGATAATATCTTAACCACATAAACAGGTAGTAAGTTACCAACTAGTCAAATTCAATACTTTTATCCAAATGTCAAAAACGATAGTTTTCTATTAAATTTGTATGAAAAACTGAGTTATGATGTCATAGTATTTTTGCGTCAAATAGTGTATTTATTTCTTAAAAATTAGCTAAAAAATATATAAAATTTAGTGTATCCATCGATTGATGAATAAAAGTAAGTATATTATATATATATTGTATTATTTGGGGCAACTCAGTAGACGTAGAAAGAGTCTTTAAAGGACAAAAAAAGTGTATTCGAGCAATGTGTGGAGCTCACTTTTTGGATAGCTGCAAACCGCTGTTCCTAAAACTTAAAATACTACCTTTGCCAAGTCTCTACATATTTGAAACATGCATGTTTGTAAAAAAAAATTATGATTCATTTGTTAAAAGTAACTACAAAACTAATAGTAGAGTATGTCACAATTACAAATTAAAATTGCCGCAAATAAAATTAATGCTATATAAAAGAAATATTTACTGCATGGCAATTATTATTTATAACCATCTGCCAAATAATATTCAAGATTTGCCATCGTCGTTGTTCAAAAGGGTTTTATTTAAAATGTTACTAGAGAAAAAATATTACAGTGTTAAAGAATATTTAGAGGATAAATCGCTAGTAACATAATACATAATATTTATGTAAAAATAGGCTTTGCCATATCTAACAGTGACATAATTATCAAACATTAATGACATTCTTATGACCAATTTAATTCAATTTTAATCTTCATTACAATAATATTTATATGTGACATGGCAATCTTAATTCGTAATTCTTAAAAAATTCTTAATTAATTCTTAATCTTTATTTTAATAATATTTACAAAACCAATACAGCAACTTTAATCCTATAAATAATATTGACATTTTATTAATTTGTATTATACAGAAATATTTGTACGCCATAGTATGGCAGGATATGCTGGAATCAAAACTGTAACATCTATTGTACCATATTCTGACAAATAAACATTTTTTTTTTATAGTTATTTTTTAATATTTTATTGTATTGAAATGTCGACCTAGGAAACTACCCTATTAATTAAATACCTTGGAAGGCTTGACGTTTCGACCTTGTTGCACAGGTCGTGGTCGCAAGCAGACTGTACAGTCCACCGTTTAGTAATATGTTGTTAACATAAAACGCGAAAGTTTTAAAGATAGTATCTTGACTGAACCGAGTAATAAACAAATGAAATTAGATTGCGTTTTCCTCAAAGATACCTCTACAAGACAATTTGGGCGTGTAACAAGTGAGTGAGTGGGCGTGTATAGGCAAGACGTACTACGAGCTGTCCATAACGTTCGGTCTTTTCGTTCAATCATGATTGAAGCAAATAAATGCTCAGTAAGATTACGAGACGATAAAATTTTTAAGTATTTCTTTTTAACTTATTCCATTGACGTCTAATAAAATATTCTAAAAGTACTTATATCTCAAAAGCCAAAACTAACTTGCTATTACCCCGTCCCTCCTATTATTCAGCCGGTGTTGCAGGTACCAGCCCAATAATCTACCGAATCTTTCGGAGCAGAAGGAACTGTGTGGCTTTTAGTCAGTAAGTCTAATTTTCAATTTATTGATTTTGAGGTTTTTAGAGTCTGATTTATCTAGCACAAGTCATTCGACGACCCCTTCCATTTTAGCAAAAAACACAACATACCTTGAGCAAATCCCTCCGCAGATTGGAGTTAGTCTTGATGTACACCAAACCGACGGTGATGAGCAAATACAAACGCGGTACGATGTTGCCAGCGTATTGCACCAGTTCATAGAGGTCAGCCACCTTGCGACCTTTTTGGAACTCCTCCAGAAGATACAGTTCTAGATGACGAAGCTCATCTGTTATTGCCATATCTGTTTTTAGGAGTTAAGGCTAATATAATGGTCTAGAAAATCCTGAAAAAAAGTACCATATGGTGGCCCAATGGCTTATTTTTCTTTGTTGTTTCCGTTTCAGTGTCGGTGTATGTTAGTTAATATATATTTTTTTTGTTTTGGGTTAGGTCGACAAACGAGCAGACGAATTACCTGACGGTAAGCTATCGGCGCCGCACATGGCCACCCGAAACACCAAAGAAGTTACGAGTGCGTTGCCAAACTTTTGAGGATAAGCGTTTCGGATATTTAAGGATCGGGAAGGGATGGCGGGACGGGGAGAATGTATTAATCCAGAGACCCAGACGTCCGGGAACAACCCCCACCCTATTCCTAATCCTCAAATCCTTTACACTTAAAAGGCAGGCAATGCACTTGTAACCTCATGAAGTGTTGCGAGTGTCCATGAGCGATGCCGTTTGCTTACCATCATGCGATCCACGTACTCCTTAACCACCCCATCCCATAAAAAAATTATCATGACCTACTAACATTATTATTATTATTTAATTTAGTACAAATACAGTACAAATGTGTTTATGGATAACAAACGAGAAATCTAAAGAAAAGAGAAAGCTCAAGTATTAAGTTTACATTCAGAAATCTTATACTGTTCAGATATTGTACACCAAGTTAGCACGGGTCACCAACTACGTTGCTAAGAACGAGAGTGTTTTATTTCCCAATATTTCCCTCTACTTTTCTACATTCAGTAAAAGTTAATTCATTAGTTATTGTCAAAATTGACAATTTCTATTTTTTCTGTATTAACTTTTTTTTAATTACTCATATAGAAAATAAAGTTAAGACATTGACCACTGATAAATCAGTCTGCTAGCATGTTCAAGTGTTAACTATAAATATCGAAAAGTTACTTTAAAAAGTGTGTTCTTTTCATTGCATTAAAATTGAATTATTTTTACGACTAAGCAAAGTACCCATATGAAATTATCATTAAATATTTTTCTTTAAAAAAAACTGTTATAAAAAAAGTCTAAGAGTTATAAAAAAACTCTTACATTTTTCTTTTCGAAGGACTGCAGGAAGAGATTCCATATAGGAATATGCAGTACCTATGTTCCTCTGTCTCTGTATTTGTTCTCTATTTACTGTATGTGTGATGTGCATAAATAATAAATAAATAAAGTCTTATTGTGTATTATTAAAATAAAAACCAAAACATAAAAAAAATTAAGATCTACATTCCAAAAAATGCCAAGCCAAAATTGCCAGAAAATCCTGTTCTACAACTGCAATCAAACAACAAATAGCACCATCAAAACATTTTAAAAAAGGATACAAAGCTCATAATAGCTTTTTGGTGACAGCAGAGAAGTCCTTAGCTCTCCCAGCATAGTGGAAGCATGCTTCAGAGCATCCATCAGCTTGGATTTGTCCAGACATCTCTTCATTTGAAATGCCTGCAATAAAAACAATGTAGGTTATACCCGGCTGTGAAACTTAGAGACTGTGAAAAGCCATAAAAATTTCCTTGTTGATGATTCTGGGTCTCCTTGAAGGCATCTTGACCTTTTTTGGGTGTAAGGTATTACCTTACACCCAAAAAAGGTCTAAGAAATAAGATCTAGAAATAAGGTTATTTCTAGATCTTCTTTTCTTCATTTTCATCAATTTATACCTAAGTGCCAATTGCTGAGCAAAAGCCTGTTCTTACACAGACAAGGAATTGGCAAGGTCATTGAGGATTTCAAACTCATATTCTGCTTGTCATTTATTTTTGTTAGTGGTCTCTACATGATCCTAAAAAGCAATTATTTATCGGTGCCATATACAGTTTTGGTTTTTTATTCAATTTGATAATAGTCTTTTGAGATGCATATTCTTTGTCTATTCTCTTTTAACTGTTTTGTATTTAATGACATAGTTCTAGGTTAAGTCAATAAATATAAAAAAAAGTTAAAAAGTGAAATATGCCTGTAACATAGTACCAATACCAAACATAGTCATAATAATTTTTGTAAGTATGACTTATATTCAAAATTAAACTAGTAGGTATGTAAATAATTGATAAAAGGTATGGTTGTTTATACTTGTTAGAGTAAAAACCTGTCTAGTAAAATTCATTATGATCGTCATTACAAAACTTGAAAGAAGTTTTATAAGCTCCACCTTAAAACCTGTTTGTAAAGGTAAGGTAGGTAACTCATTATTGTGACTTTACAAATAAAAAAAAGTGGTCTTAAAATAAAACAAACAAAAAATTACGCGGTAAATAGCAAAATAATGAAAAAAAAGCGGAAACCACGTACATAACGCCCACAAATTGTCTATAGAACAATTAGATAATAATTAAAAACAAACCTGCACTTTGACTACATTCAAGGCTTCATCAAGGAGTTTCTCCTGCTCCTCGACCGGTGACGCCTGGTTCGTCATTTGTGCCTACAAAATATAAACAGATAAAACACCGTTTGATAAAAACGACGATAGTATATTGTACCCACGAACTACTAACAGTTGACCAAGTATACAAAAATGGATGTTTTATGTTCTCCATTTAGGTTGATTAACGTGTTTATTGTCGACGTAACATTTCTCAACGCACCTGATTTGATGACTGAGGACAAATGAAGTCTCCAATAAGATTTTCAAGGAAAATTTATTTAATTTTCGTCACGGTAAAGTAGTGTAAATTAGTAGGCGACTGTTTGACAGTTGACTTATCATAAATGTCATGATGTCACATTTGACAAATGTTTATAGATGCGTTCCAGTTAATAATAAGTTTTATTTCTTTATTTGAGAGATTTTTGGATTTTAGAAAGGTACTGGAAATATTACAATTTCCACACTAGAGATACATTTAAATAATGTATCTGGATTAAATCATTTATAGCCTTAAAATTCTTGGATTTTAGGAAAAACTGAACGTGAAAATGTTAAATGTCATGGTTGTCAACTTGTCAGCTTCATTCACGTCATGTCACAGAATTTGTTATCTGCGAGGAATTTTAGTGATAAAAGCGAACTATAAACAGAAAAAATGGATAATAAACCGTCACTGAGTCAATATTTCGGTGATAAGGAAGTACCACCCGCCTCCCAGTTTTTCGACGAAATCGGGACGTCGCCATCTGATATGGTACAAAGCATTTATTTGGGCGAACCCGAAGGTAACGTTTCGATCGCACTTTCTATGTATTTTTCTATTAAAACTTATTGTTTTATGATTGATATTGTAAATATATGACTTTCTTTAAACATTTTAGGTAATCAAACGACGACAAATAATCTTTTTCCTCAAAATATGTCGGTTTCGTTTACACAACATAAAACGTCAGAAGAGATGACTTTTACAAATGTTTTGCCTACTGTGAGTGGGTCTACTTCGGTGCCGGCAGCCAGTTTACCAGACCCATCAACATTCTTTGACACGATAGGCCCTGAACCACAGATTGTGCCTACAAAAAGCAGTATTGCTAACCCAACAGTACTTGCTGAAGCTATGGATGGGTTAAGTATTAAAGTAAGGTTTATTTATTATTATAGACCTAAGCAGAGCTGTTTTGTGTTTATTTTAAAATGAAATACAGCCACTCTCATCACTTCATCACCTTAAGCTTGACTGTTGGACAATGCTTAAGGCATTAAGTAGTACATATGATTGTATAAAGTTTTCAATAAAATAAGTCTTCATTTCATGACAAACATTTTTAACAATTACAAAGGTAAAAAGTAGACAGGTGTTATATAGCCTATAATCTATCTCTGTGACAAACTTAATTGAAATTCATTCAGTAGCTGTTATGTGAAAAAGTAGCTAATATCTTTCCATACTTACAAGCTTTCACATTTGTAATATATATTTCTAGGATGTAACATTGAAATAATAAATAACATTATTGTTTTTGAAAGTAGTCTTTTCTTTTCGTATTTAATTTATTAATGAATTGTATGGTCTAAAAATTTATAATATTATGGTGAATGGTGTCATGTAAACAAGCTTTTAATTTACTAAATTCAATAAATAATAAGACAAGAGTACTTAATTTTAATAAATAATGTTTAAAAAAATTGTATTGAGTAAATATTCCTAAATTAGTTTCTTACTAAAATGTAATACTGCAACTATATTTTAATTGTGTGATTTATAATTGTCTACAGAACCAGCCTGTAGATAAAGAGGCAGATAGAAGAAGAGATGCCTGGATACCAAATGATGAAGCTAAGAAAACTTTAATGAAGGTAATTTTTCATATCTTAGCCTGTCAATTGTGGTAATTAGAGACAGAATAGTAAGAAAGGGTACATGAACACCAGCATTCACCTTAATTTTGTCAATCCTTGTACAGTACGGCCACTGTATCTTGGCGAGTCTGAAGTTAGCCGTTAAATATTTAATATTTGCCTTACAATAACTGTACAGAGTTAACGCGTATCCGAAACGCGTCGTGCGACTGAGTTATCGCCTTTAATAACTTGCTTACGCGCAATGGATCTTTTAGGAACAAAATTGTGTAACGCACAGCTAATCGGCTAATTTCAGATCACTCGCAAAGACCCGTTGGCGGTATTCTAATTAGAGTAATGATAACAAGTCAAAAGTCGTATGTAATTAAATATTGGTACAGATTCACTTGCTGCTTGGCTCCTATTAGTTGTAAGGTGATGTTTTCTAGCTTATGGCTAGGGTAGGATGGCATAGGAGCTAATTTTTCCCTTGATGGTAAGCAACCAACATTGCCCTTGGACAACTCCAACACTGAATAAGTTAGAAAACTCTTGGCATCATTTTAGGACAACTGCAACACTGAATAAGTTAGAAAACTATTGGTATCATTTAGGTTGTTAAAATTTTAAGAATGTAATAACATTTTGAATCTCAATGCTGTGGTTGTTTACCGCCAGTTTTCAGTGACATAGATTATACTTATTTGTAATGGTCAGCTACCAAAGATATTTAGTCTTTTTCTTCTTATTATGGCGACTTAGTCTTGTGGACTATACTGCCAGTGACGAGCAGTGACAGTAGGTAGAAAATACTATTGATCTTTATTGACTTTGAGGTATGTTATTTTAAGTGTTGGAGAGCCATGCTTCGCACGAATTGGTCAGATCGACTGAAGTGATACCACGGCCTCACAAAAAACGAAACATCCACAGCGTTGTATTTCGCCATGTGAGTGAGGTTACCGGATGCCTAATGAATGATGATTGTTATTTTGTTGACAGGCACAATCGTCACCCAAAGGCTCATTCTTCCCTGAGAGAGAGGTCCTAACGATGCCTGGATTGATACTTGAAGAGGAATTGGTAAGAAATATGTGTAAAGCTAATATTTAAAATGGTAGGCACACTATGCTTAGAAAAGGTCTCTTTTCGCACAAAGAAGGTTTGAGCATAAAGGTCATTAGAACCACCGGGTAACTACACCACTCCGGCTCGCCTTTTGCGGAAATAAAAGAACCAAAGTCACCGACATAGCTCGTTCGATCGCTCGAAGGATATGTGGCCGGTGGGCCCACAAAGCACTCTAGTTCCGCTCATGAACCGGAAAACGTAGCGTGGGCAGGCCTCCCGCTAGGTGGACCGACGACATCGTCAGAGTCGCGAGGAGCCAATGGAAGCCGGTGGCAACTTGTCGTACGACGTGGAGAGCTAATGGGGAGGCCTTTGTCCAGCAGTGGACGTTTTCCGGCTGATGATGATGATGATAATGATGATGAAAGTAAATAATGTTATGCCTAATTGCAATATTGACGCTAATAACATAGGTATATTATATGTAACTAAGGTCAATGTACAGAATAGCTTGTATACCTTAAACAATAGTGCATATATTCTTCACCCAGGCCGATGCCCTCCAAGAAGTAGCAGTGAAGTACCTAGGAGTCAGTTCAGCTGGTAGCCGAGGAGTTGTGAGAGCGGAACATGTGAGTCGTGATGAAGCTGGACTTCGGGAGTTGCTGCGCACTGGATACTTGAGGGCAGCTATCAACCTCACGCATGTACTCATCAGTGCTGCCGGACAAGGTAAATTAGTTTGAATGGACTTCCTCTCTTAAGCCCCTTAAAATCTATACTAATATTAGAGGACTCAGCCACGCGTTGCTTTGGCTAAGGTTCTTTTCATATTACATACTAGCTACTATCACGCGGTTTCACCCGCTGCTCGGCTCCATTTGATCGTAGCGTGATGTTTTATAGTCTATAGCACTCAGGAACATCGTAGCTATCTATCAGTGAAAGAATTTTGGCAATCCGACTAGCGGTTCCAAAGATTACCCCCTACATACAAACTTACAAATTTTACCTCTTTTTAATATTAGTATAGATGGACAAATAAATTGCATTAAAATAATATTGTGACTATAAATTGGGATGTAAGCTATCCTATCTTTCAAGTTGGATCAAAATGCACACGGAATGTAAATCAAATTTAAAATCGGTTTAGTAGTTTAGGAGTCCATCGCGGACAAACACGTGGCACGAAATTTTTATACACATAAAGATTATAAAACTTGAGTTTCTTTGTTTGAACGTGCTAATCTCCAGAAGTGCTGGTTCGAATTGGATATTTTTTTTTTGGGTCTCTTAGTCCGTTAATCAAGGAAGGCAGCAGGTGAAAACGCGCGAGAAAAACTATCCTATACTAATATTATAAAGCTGACCCTTCCCCACGATTTTTCCTTCACTATATGTCAGCGGTGTCTAAATAATCATAGAAAGTACATGTAGCTCGGAAAAAGTTACATGAGTAGTTGCCAGGTTTTGCACCCTCAAGCATGAGAAGTGGACGCCTTAACCTCCAGACCACCACATATTTCATTTTACCACTACATATATTTGCTTTAGGGCTCATTTTTCAATAGCCAAATAAATTTTATCTGAAGAATAAAATTGTTGCCGTCACATCAATCAACCAACCAATCAACATTCTGACGCGACAGCATCATAATTATTCCCCAGGTAACTTTTATTTAACCATTGAAAAATAGGCCCTAAAATAATTATAATAATAAACTGTATCATCTAATTACACTTATTTTAACAATAGTGAAATTAAAACAAAGATTTTTATTTTATTTAGTATTTTCTTTATTCAGGTGTAGGTCGTATGCACCGTCCAACAAAACACACGCCGCGCTCGCTACAGCTCTGGCTGACAAGGTTCGCAGTCATGTTGAGGATCAAGCTGACTGACCCATTACTGAAGGAGGCCGAGCCCTTTGGGGATTTCAGCAAGCCCGATATGTTTTATGAGGTAAGCTTAACCTCCGGTATATGACAAAAAATAGAAAAAAAACATTATATCTCGCGTGGATCAGCGCTCCGGCACATCACGGATTAATACGGTATTTAACAAGTAGTCAAATTCAATACTGTTCTAGTTATAATTTGTATATATTTGGTCTGTTCAAACGCATAATTTTAAGAATGTTGGTTAGCTCGTAACTGGTTAATGTATAAGACCTACTACCTATATATAACCAATACTTTTAACTACTTTGTATACATAAGCTGTGAGCCTTCCTTATTACATGAAATATATAAGTACTATTATTGAAATGTCAAAAACGAAAGTATTATATGAATTTGGTATAAAAACAAAAATGTGACGTCATCATATTTTTGAGTCAAACAGAATTCAGTCTTTTCTTGAAATGTAACCTATAAAAATTCAAAATTAATTAGATATATCGTCAAATCCATCAATGAAGTACGATTATTTATGAATAGTATGTAAATCTTGAAGGAAATTATTTTTGACAGAGGAATACATATAAGTACCGAAAATTATTTGAATGATGTAGAGAATTCTTCATTTTTTTTTAATTATATCAAGTACCAATGATTTTTACCGCTTAAAAAACAACATTCGTATCTCCTTGAAGTAATTTTAATAACAATAATAATTTGGACTCTGATATTTGTGCTGATAGTTGTGTCGGCAAAAGGGTTAGTCCCCAAAAGCCTCGACAACCACCTTAAGAGGCTGACGTTAGGCGGATGGATCAAGGGCCTCATACAGAAGGCAGTCCTCCTTGAAACGGCACGTATTGTGAGGAGATTTCCACTGGTAGCTTGGACCTTGCTCCCGCTGCCGGCTGGCTTCTATTTTTATATTTTTTTAAGTATTTTATTTTAATGGTAATATTTTAAAATGTAATTTAAATAAATCATCATCTTCCTGCCTTTCCCGTTTTATTTGGGGTCGGCGCAATATGTTTTTTTTCTTCCATTCTGTCCTGTCACCCGTCACGCTATCACTTAACTCCTCTGTCTTCCATATCACTTCTCACACAATTCATCCATATTTTCTTTGGTCTCCCTCTCCCTCTCCATCCCTCCACCTCCATACTCTTTGTAATTTAAATAAATATGTGAAAATAATAATTTATTTCAGTTCTACCCAGATACGTACGACAATCGCACTGGCAGTCTAGTACCATTCTCGCTGCGATTATTAGTCGCAGAACTGCCGGCGCATGTCGGGAAACCAGACGAGGCAGTCGACAGATTATATGCTATGCTTGATGTCATACAAACGGTAAGAATATCAATCACTACATAGTATAAAACAAAGTCGCTTTCTCTGTCCCTATATCCATATGTATGCTTACATCTTTAAAACTACGCAACGGATATTGATGCGGTTTTTTAGTAGATAGAGTGATTGAAGAGGGCGGTTTGTGTATGTAGGTTCCATTAAATAGTGCAGAAGTTTTAGTATCAGCATGGCACCCATGCAAAGCCCCTGGTTGCTATGTTTTTGTTAATAATGAATAAAAACTCCGTTTTTGAATATAATGTTAATTAATATTCTAAAAACCTGCTCCTAAATAAAACGAATACTTTTCTAAAAACGACATTTAAATTTGTTATTTTTTTAAATATACTACTCATTTTTTAAAGAAAGCAAAAGGAAATTCTCCGGCTTTAAAAATTTATCTGATTTTTGGTACATTAATTAAAATGTTAGGGAATTTTTTCTCGTCGTATATTTTTCAATAACAAAATTAACTAAATCGGTCCAGCCGTTTCAAAGTTCAGTTTATCCAAACGAATTCAAACACCAATTCATTTATTTTAACTTTTAACTTTTAGATGTTATCGAACCTCCGTGAAGGTAAGACAGAGGATGGATCAGCGACCATAACGGAGCAGGATAAAACCGAGTCTATTCGTCTATGGATGGGCAGAGAGACGAGAGTCATGCATTCCTTGGTCAACTGTGCTATAGCTATGAAGGTAAGAATAAGATAATGTATCAATCTGAAAAAAGAAAATTGGACTTAAAATACATATCATCATCGTCATCAGCCTGTTGTCGTCCACTGCTGGACATAGGCCTCCCCAATTGCACGCCACTGAGCTCGATGTTCAGCTCTTCTCATCCAACCACTGCCAGCCACCCTGCGGATGTCGTCAGTCCACCTAGCTGGAGGGCGCCCTACACTACGTTTGCCTAGACGTGGTCTCCACTCTAGAACACGTTTACTCCATCGGTCATCGGTTCTTCGACAGATGTGACCTGCCCACTGCCACTTCAGTTTGCTAATCCTTTGGGCTATGTCGATAACTTTAGTTCCCTGTCGGATCACCTCGCTTCGAATACGATCCTTCAGAGAGACTCCAAGCATAGCCCTTTCCATAGCTCGCAAAATACATATATGTAGAGCTATTGTGTACTCATAATAAGTATAAACTTGCTTGCTTCTTGCATCTACTCCTAGATTGCCTCTGCACACCTAAAGGTAGACTGGTAGAAAATGCTCAATGCATTAATTCCACCCTATGTACAATTTTCGACTGCACGGTTGGTGCGGTGGCTGGGCAACTTGCTGCCGTGCAACGTCTCAACGTCGATCCACAAATTGTTGTTTCGGGTCTGGGTGTGATGTGTATGGAAAATGTTCGTTACATTACCCTTTTTTGGTCGTTATTTGCCAAATCAGTAAAGGCATTGTTGAGTTGAGTTATACAAAAAGTGGCATTGATTTTTAAATATATATATTATATATAGATATCGTTTACTATTTCCAGGACTATAGACAAGCGGCTCGAATATTATCAACGTTACATCAACAGGCGACGTCAGCGGGCGGGCGGCGCGCCATATGTAGCGCGCTGTGTCGCCTGTGGCTACTGGCCGGACATGTCCGCGCCGCCGGGGCCTGGCTCGACACTGCCCGGGACGCCAGGCATCATATGTTTGTATATACATGCTTTTTTTTTAATATAACATTGCAAACGAGCTAGCGGATTACCTGATGGTGTGCGTTGCCGGCCTCTTGTGAGTTATTAAGGATAGGGGATTATAACTCATAAGACAACGCACTTGTAGTGACTTCTTTGGTACTACGTATGGAGACTTCCATGGACGACTGATTGCTTAACTGAAAGTAAAACGGCAGCTTGTTTGCCAACAAGCTATAACATAAAAAAATAGTAGTAGTACCTAGTAATAATAAAATTAAATAAATTAAATTTGTGGATTCGGCTATCATTGTACCGATAGTCGTGTCTGCCAATGGCTTAATAGCTAAGAGCCTCGACCAACACCTTAGGAGGCTCTCGTTAGGTGGCTGGATTAAGGGCTTGATTCAGAAAGTGGTACTCCTGGACACGGCTCGTATTGTCAGGAGGTTCCTTTCTCTGGAGCCCTGACCGCCGGTAGCTAGGACCCTATTTCTGATACCGGTGGGACACTATTTTTTATATTTTTAAATGTTTTTTATTATTTATTTTTAAGAAATATTTGTAAATGTAATTTATATGTTTATATGATAAATAAAAAGAAATTAAACTAATATGTATATAAATAATTTGTTTCTTTAGGAAAGTTGCTTCTTATCATGTGTTTAAATGTCGGTCACTAATTAACAGTCACCTTATGTAAATCGTAGCTTTATTTGTTAATTCTACCCCTCAGATGTCCGACTCCAGACGTCCGCGAATATGTCGACATGGGTTTAATGGACATAGCGCACGGCAAATATCAAGATGCGTACAATAACTTCGCCAGAGCTGCTGATCAAGAACCAACCAATATAATGGTAAGCCTAGCTACTTCTTTGCTAGTAAGTCAGCGCTGAAAACCGCTGTTTTGTTTTGTGCGTGCGTGCGCTAGACACAGCATTTATGCTGAGCGCTGCTTCGCGCATGAGTGACGCAATTGCAGTGCTTTTCTTTCGCGCGCGCCTCAAAGAGCCATTCGACCACCACAGACGGGGCCCTAAAGGTCTGATGTTCAGCCGGGGTTGCGGGGTAAGCGCAATGAGGTACCGCGACCTCAGCACAGAGTAGGAGAAGGAACAGGGGGGTTTTTAGTCAGTAAGAGTCTGACACTCCCTCCTGCCCGGCCCTGGGCGGGAGAAGTCATTGGATGATTTTCACCTCACAAAAAAAAGTGCTTTTCTTTTTTTTATGTTCATTGTTTGTTTTGTCCCTATGTAGCTATATAGCTATATATTTGTGTGTGTTTGTTTCTTGCGTCATTTGTGTGTGAAATAAATGGTTTTTCTTTCTTTCTATTACTGCTCGGCTCCTTTTGGTCGTGAGGTGGTATACCCTATAGCATTCATCGATAAATAGACTATCCAACACACAAAGAAATAAAGAACGTGCCACGGTTACCCGTTCCCAAAAATATTTTAATTTTATAGCCTTGTGCATATAGCATTGTGTGTCCCACTGCTGGGCAAAGGTCTCCCCTTTTTCCTTCCAAACTTCTCTGTCTAGAGCGATCTCCGGCCAAGTTTGCCCCGCGAACATGATAAGATCGTCACACCACCTTCGCCGTGGTCGACCTCGACGGCGTCGACCTCCTTAAGGTGTCCAGTGAGTGACAACCTTCGCCCATCTGTCCGGGTGCATTCGTGCGACGTGGCCAGCCCACTCCCACTTCAGCCTGGCTGTTTTTTCTCCGACATCTGCTATTTGAGTTATGGAGCGCAGCGTGGTGTTTCTTGCGCGATCTATTTAGGTGTTAAGCGAATAGATTGCGTAAGAAACACCCAATAATATATAAATAAAAAATAATAGTAGCTATTCTTACAGTCGCAATGAGTCACCGCGGCCTCGGCCCAGAGCAGGAGAAGGAACGGGGGGGTTTTTAGTCAGTATTAGTCTGACACTCTCTCGCCTAAACCTGAGCGGCAGAAGTCATTGATGATTTTCCCCTCACAAAAAAAGCAATTCTTATAGTATTGTTACACTGCTATAGAATTGTTAAATTCTTATAGAATTGTTACACTGTTCTCACATAATAGAACTATCTAAATTATGTAACAATGCATTGTAAAAAGTGATTGAAAAAGAGTACCATGGAGTTTCTTGCTCGTTCTTCTCCATAGGAATCTACACTTTGGAACGAGCAAATAGCTTTACTAGAGGACAGACGGACAGACTCACACATATAAAGTTAAACCTTATGATATCTTTTTTGCTTGACGTTCAAAAGTGCCTTTTTTGGTCTATTTGAAATAAAGAATTTGATTTGATTGATTTGAGTAATTGTATTACTAGCGACCCGCCCCGTAGCACGTGTGCAGTGCTTATACTACATTTATCCACTATTTATTAAATGTTATTTTACATACAAGCCTTCCCCTTGAATCACTCTATCGATTTAAAAAGAGGTCCCATTATCCGTTGCGTAGTTTTAAAGATGTAAGCATACATAGGTATATAGGGACAGAGAAAGCGACTTTGTTTTATACTTGTAGTGATTCCAAATTCAAACTCAAGAAGTCTAATCTTCTATAAAGAAAATATAGACAAGTTGAATTACATAATACAAACCTCTTTATCTAAATGAAGTGTGGGAGAGCCATGCTTCGGCACGAATGGGTCGGCTCGACCGGAGTGATACCACGGCCTCACAGAAAACCGGCGTGTAGTGTGTGTGTTTCGCCGTGTGAGTGAGGTTACCGGAGGCCCAATTCTCCCCCTTTCCCCCATCCTTAATACTTAAATCCCTAAAAACCCACAAGAGGCCGGCAACGCACTTGTAGTAACTCCTTTGATACTACGAGTCTCCATGGGCGGCGCTGATTGCTTACCATCAGGTAATTCGTCTGCTCGTTTGCCGACCTGTTACATAAAAACAACTAACCATAACCAATTTGTTTACAGGTCGCAAACAACTTATCAGTCTGTCTACTCTACATGGGGCGGCTAAAAGAAGCTATAGCCGTTTTACAAAAGGCTATTAACTCGGATCCTGAAAGAGGATTAAATGAGAGCCTTTTAATTAACCTCTGTACACTATATGAACTAGAATCTTCGAAAACGAATGAAAAGAAATTAAATCTACTTAGAATGCTTTGTAAATACAAAAGTGATACTATACCAAATGTTTTAGAGTGTTTGAAATTATAAATAAATAGATAATAATCTTTTTTTTAATAAATAATTGGATTACATATAAATTTCTATAGTCTAATCGGTTTAGGAAATTAAATACTACGAAGAGCTGATTTTTCAATGGTTAGGTAAAAGTTATCTTGGGAATATTTTTTTTCTTTCTTTTCTTTCTTTTTTTAAAAAAACGTTGCTCTAATTTATGATTTTCTCTTGTGTTGTGGGTGCGTTTAAACATACAATGGATCACATACACATTATGACACCCAGACCCGAAACAACAATTTGTGGATCACACAAAGTGTTGTTCCGTGCGGGAATCGAACCCGCGACACATTGCACGGCAGCCAGTTGCCCAGCCACCGCACCAACCGTGCAGTCTCTGGTCTCTAGTCAATAATTATGATGCTGTCGCGTCAGAATGTTTGTATAAGACAGAGACAGCAACAATTTTATTCCTCAGTTAAAATTTATCTGACTATTGAAAATTCAGCCCTAAATGTAAACAATATTGGCATGTCTTTTTATCTTAACGTTGACTTGGTTGAGTTGGCTAATTAAACTAGTTGGCTGAGATATATCGATAAGAAATTATGCTTTTATTTATGTTGGCAATAATATAATACGTCTCCAAAATCGCGCAATTTGAATTTAGATGTAGGTATCTGTAAATTGTTATTTATATGTGTAGATATTTGAATGAGGGCTGATTTTTCAATAGTCTGATAAATGTGACAGACGGGGTTATATAGGGCTGATGTTCAGCTGGGATTGCGGGTTAAGCGCAATGAGTCACCGCGGTCTCGGCCAGAGAGGAGAAGGTACGGGGGGTTTTTAGTCAGTAAGAGTGTGACACTCTCTCTCGTCTTACCCTGGGCGGGAGAAGTCAATAGATGATTTTCCCCTGACAAAAAAAAAACCTAAGTAATAAATTGTTGCTGTCACTGTCTTATACAAACATACAGGGTGTAAAAAGACACTTAACAAAGCCGTTAACTACGCATACTGCAGTTCTAACTAAGTAGCTTTACGCTAAAATTATCACTGGGAAACGACTTTTATTTTTAGGTTTAAAAAAAAAAATTATTGCGCGCAATGTAAAGCAAACGGGCTTCGTGTCATTGTGTGCGTAGGTTCACAGCTTAACATTAAAACGCTGTGATAAGTACGTAGGTCGACGTTTAACTTCGCAACAACAAAACAATTCTGTAAAATAAAAATCCTACTGAGATGCACGATGTTTTTTGTGCGGGTCTGCATGTATTTATTACGTACATTACTGTTCGTAACTTCAAATGCGTAATTTATTTAGAAAAATCGAAAATTCAGGTAATGTTTGTTTGGAAAAAAGTTTTGTAATAATACTTAGAATTCGATTGCGCAAAAAAAGAAAACTAAAAATGCATATTTGACCTTCAATATCTCGAGAACCCGTGGAGTCCCAGCTATGGTCTTAAAGAAAAAAATGATCCAAATAATGGGTAGAATACGTGGCTTTCGGCTTCGTTAAGTGTCTTTTTACACCCTGTATATTCCCCAGATAGGTAACTTTTATCAAACCTTTAAAAATCAGCTCTAAATCACATTTATTTTTTGCGTAGTCTCAAAAATGACTGTCAAACAAGAAGTCTATCGATCCCAATTTTTTTAAGTGGTGGTTTGTCAAACCAGCTCTCGGATTACCTGATGGTAAGCAATCTGCTCTATGATTATTTAGACACCACTGACATACGGTGAAGGTAAACATCGTGAGGAAACCTGGACTTATAATTTCTAATTATAAGTTTGAAATCGCCAACCCGCATTGAGCAAGCGTGGTGATTAATGCTCTAACCTTCTCAGTATGAGAAGAGGCCTTTGCTCAGCAGTGGGCATTTATAGGCTGATGATGATGATGAAGCAATCTGCATTGCTCACGGACATTCGCAGCTGTACGTAGCACTACATGGATAACAATTGCTTTGCTGGTCTTTTGAAGGTTTTTAATTGCGATTGGGGAGAGGGGATTAGCCAAGCCCGTCGCTAATCTCACAATGCGACACAGAATGCAAGCACTGTTTCACAGCAGTTTTCCATTTCCATGCGTCGTGGTTTCTCTCTCATCAAGGCCACACCTGCGCATTCGCATTAAATTTAAAGTAAGTATGTATGTATTATAAAAAAAAACCACGCTTTCAATAAATTATTACAATAATATTCTGTAAATGTATATGTATAAACAAAATTAATTCTTATTTGGTATTATTATATTATCTGTGATTATTTTCTCTTTATTATTATTAATTTTTATTTTGTAATAAGTATAGCAAGTTATTAATAAACTTTTTAACTAAGTAATTGTTTTTATTTATTTTTTTCTAAATGGTCTGATGATAAAAAGCAGCCACCTGTTTATCCAGGGTATCACATATCTAGATACGAAATTTTAGCCAAATCGGTTCAGCCGTTTTTGCGTGAAAGACTAACAAACATACCTACATCCATATATTCCCACAAGCTTTTACATATACTATTTTACTAGGATTAGGATAGTACTCAGGAAAATTGTAGCTATATATCAGTGAAATAATATTCTGAAATCCGACCAGCGATTCCAGATATTACCCCCTACATTTCAGCCGGTGTTGCGGGGTAAGCGCAATGAGGCACCGCGACCTCGGCCTAGAGCAGGAGTAGGAACAGGGGGTTTTTAGTCAGTAACAGTCTGACAAAGTCAAAGTCAAAGTCAAAATCATTTATTCCAATTAAACCATCAATAGGTACTTTTGAAACGTCAAAATAGAAAAGTAGTCTGTCAGTCTGTTCGTCAGTGAAGCTAGGTGCTCATTCCAAATTGTAGATTCGAATGGAGAAGAACGAGCAAGAAACTCCATTCGTTACTCTTTTTTAAAAAAAAAATTGTTTTACAATTTCAATAATATAACATTTATAGTATACATTAGTGTACCCTTATGTGAGAACAATGCAGAGACAAGTTGTTAAAAAAAAGAACAAATGAGGGGACCTATCATAAAATTTTACTCCTTTGTCGTCTCGAGCATGGCGCTCACATATGCGTACTCACAATATTTAAGAGTGCTTCTATATAAACTTTTTGGATATATAAATTAAGGATGCATTATTTTTGAGAATTTTACCTAACTGCTGACTATATTTGAGTATTGTCCAGTGGAGCCGAACCAACACGCTGCCAGGCATTCTTATCCTCAATATAATCTGAAAGTTTGTAGTATGCCTGTCTACACAATTCACGTTTAATATAAGTTTTAAATTTTCGTTCGTTAAGATTCAATACAGTACTTGGAATTTTATTGTAACAATTTACACAGAACCCCATAAAGGATTTCTGTACCTTGGACAGACGGAATCGTGGCACAGCCAGCCTATCTTTGCCTCTTGTATTAAAATTATGTCTATCGCTTCTTTTTTCAAATAATTGCAAATTTTTCCTTACATACATAATATTTTCATATATAAACTGACAAGGCACCGTCAGGATATTTATCGTTTTAAATAGTTCTCTCAGAGATTCGCGACGGGGCAAGTTATATATCGCTCGGATAGCCCGCTTTTGTAGAATAAATATTGATTCTACTTCCGCAGCTCGACCCCACAGCAAAATTCCGTATGACATAATGCTGTGAAAATAGCTAAAATAGACAAGCCTTGCTGTGTTCACGTCTGTGAGCTGTCTTATCTGTCTAACTGCAAAAACAGCAGAGCTTAGTCTCCCCGAAAGCGTCTTTATGTGGGAACCCCATTGAAGTCTATTGTCTAGTGTGATACCTAGAAACACTGTCTCGTTGACAAATTCTAACTTTTGCCCATTTAAAATTATGCTACAATCATTACTGTGTACGTTGGGCAAGCTAAATTTAATACATTTTGTTTTTTTCTCGTTAAGTGCTAAATTATTGACTGTAAACCAATTATGAACTTGATGAATGGAGCTGTTTACTTCGTCAAAATTATTAGAACGTCGACCTATTTTAAAAATTAATGATGTATCATCAGCAAACAGCACCATACTTGGCTCGGTTTTAAATAGAAATGGCAAGTCATTAACATACACTAAAAAGAGAAACGGACCCAATATTGAACCCTGTGGAACGCCCATTCTTATCTCAGAGCCCTGTGAGTTATAACCACCTACATGAACTCTCAGCTGCCTATCCTCTAAATATGATTTTAGTAGACGGAGTGCAGTATGTCTAATCCCGTAATGATCTAATTTCAGCAAGAGTGTTTCATGATCAACGCAATCGAACGCTTTTGAGAGGTCGCAAAAGACACCAACAGCATCCTGTGCTTCCTCCCAAGCACCGAGTACTTCCTTTATCAACGTGACACCGGCGTCAGTTGTACAACGACCTTTAGTGAAACCGTATTGTTGGTGATGGAAGATGGCATGTTTATCAAAGTGATGAAGCATCCGAGATAGCATTAACTTTTCGAACACTTTGCTAAGAACCGGCAGAACAGACACAGGCCTATAGTTGTTTGGTTCCTTAGTGTCACCATTTTTGAATAATGGAATAACTTTACTGTATTTCATTAGGTTTGGGAAGACACCGTCATCTATACTTTTATTGAAAATCAAAACCAGATACGGCGCTAAAGTTCGGATAAGTGATCCGCAGACTTTCACGGATAGTCCCCAAAGGTCCTCAGTTGATTTGACCTTGATTTCTTTAAAAACCTTTATTATCTCTAGAGGACTAGTATAATGAAAACTAAAGTCGCATTCGCATGATTTAACATTTTCTCTAAGCAAAGTTGCCGATAGTCTGGCCGATGATTTTAAATGAGCCGTTGTTTTGACAGGTATATTAGCAAAAAAAGTCTCAAACTCCTGAGCTACATCTGTGCTTGACGAAATCTGTCCCCTCTCTGTGTTTAAACAAAAAGCCGAATGTTTTAATTTATTCCTACCTGTCTCATTCTGTATTATTTTCCACGTAGCCTTTATCTTATCTTCAGCTGATTTTATTTTATTACTGATGAAAAGACGCTTTGCGGTTTTGCATACTATTCTAAATGTCTTTGAGTACAATTTTACATGTTGATGAAAAAGAGGGTCGCAATTGTATGGTTTCATGCCATAAAGTTCAAAAAGTTTATCTCTACTCTTACGAATACCTGCGGTAGCCCAATCGCTAAACTGAAACTTAGCATAGACGTCTTTATATTTCATTGGCAAAATATCTTGAAATTCCCTATTTAACACCGTAAAAAATTTTTCGTATAACCTGCTTGGATTACTTACATCAAAATTTTCTATACTTAATTTAGATGCTAATGAATCATTAAGTTTCTCTAAATTTTTATTTGTTATATGTCTAAACTTTATTTGAATTTTTTGAAGAGGCAAATAAGAGCTGTAAGTAACCACAAGACCACTGTGGTCAGAAGGTAAACTGTTTATAACTTTTTTTTCTAAATAGTTGCAGTTACTAAAAATGTTATCAATACATGTGGCTGTGGAGGGTGTTATCCTAGTCGGTTCTAGAAAAACATTTTTTAAATTAAATGATTCAAACAAATTTAATAGCTCCATGCCACTTGTATTGTTCTCCAATAAATTAATATTACACACAAATTAATATGACACTCCCTCCCGCCACACCCTGGGCGGGAGAAGTCATTTGATGATTTTCCCCTCACAAAAAACAAAAACCCCTACATACAAACTTACAAAGTATAGCTGTGGTTTTGTAGGTTTTCACGAATAACGCCGAGATGCTAGTCTGTCCCACAAAATCTATCAGATAGTAACAATCAAACTCAACCTATCGCGTGTCGATATTATTATTATTACCAATATGACACGCAAAAGAATACACTGTCTCGCTTATATCTTTCGTTTACCAGAAGTATACCTATCTACTTACGTTTACATACTTACATTTTTCGTTTCGCGCATACCAGAGGTTATAGCATATTTAAAACATACTTAAATGAGGTACTCGGAGTTGGTTAGTAATTATTTAAATCGTCCTTTAGTAAAGAATAAAAAAACTCACAGACATTGTTAATGACCCGTTAGATAACGGTCCATATGAAAATTAAAGTTAAGTAATCATTAACTACAGCAAAACCGTCACTTAAATTAATGATAGATTTTGACATTTCCCTTCGTTTGGCTGACGTGTTGAGGTTATATTTTAATTTTTTATAGAACAAAGGTATTTATTTGTTTTATATTATTATACTGTGTAGTCTTGTTACATTACCAAACATGTCTGATCTGGCAGAATTCATTGATTTTGTGGAATATGCCAGAAGATATACAGAGGTACGACCGAGACGCTATTTACGGGATTATTCAGATCCATTTACGAAATACTCAGTCCAAGAATTCCGTGTCCGCTACAGATTTAAACCAGAAACGGTGAGAAATGTAATATTACCTTTGCTAGCGCCAGATCTAAGAAAACAATCGAAAAGAGGTTTACCGTTTGCCCCGGAGATAATGTTACTTATAACATTACGTTACTACGCTACAGGCAGTTCTCGGGTCAGTAAGTCGTTGTAAAATTGTATTTATCATTTATTATTTAATGTTTGATATTGCAAAGCTAGTTTTAGTAAGACAAAACCCTTCCCCTCGGTTACTTCCCTTCAATATTTTATAACGCTTAGATTTAATAAGTAAGTAGCTTTTGCCCGCGAATTCGTTCACGTGGAGTAGTGACTTCCTGCAGATTTTTGGTAAAAAAAAACTATCCTATGTTCTTTCTCGAGTTCCAAACTATGTCTGTACAAAATTTCACAGAAATCGGTTCAGTAGTTTAGGCGTGAAGAAAAGACAGAGACAGCCAGAGTTTCTTTCGCAATTTATAATATTAGTTTGGATATCTATGCTTTTTTAAATAGACGAAATGATTGAAAACAAGTAGGTACCTACAGGTTCATAGATAATATTTAGACTTTAACATTGTTAATTTTCCAAGTTTCTAGTCAGGTATGTCGTAAATAAGCACAATTTTTTATTTTATACCTATTGCAAATGCTGTGATGTATGCAGCATAGGCTATACAACAATGTAGGTAACAAAAATTAAAAAAATGGCAATACTGCAATCCTTATGGTCTTTACAGTTGACTCAAAATACTTTTGTTCAAATTATTGATTAATAACACTAGTTATGTAGGTACCTACGTTTTTTTCGAAGAGACTTAATTATTTGTTATTGTGGCATTAACTTACGAATATCTCATAATTGGTTCATAGGATTTTGTATTAATCTAAATGCAGATTAAATTTTTTTCTAGTTTAATTACTCCGAAGACATTCTGTGCTGGACATAGGCCTAAATAGTATGTGGTGGTTCATGAAATAATTAACCAAGTCAGAAAATCTCATAGTTTAAAAACAGTGCGCGATTACCTACACTTCGTTACATCTTGTGACCTTTTTTCTTTTGAGGGCGGAAAATCACCCTCCCTAAGTTGGACGAGGAGTGTCAGACATTTACTGACTAAAAACCGTCCGTTTCTTCGTCTGGACCGAACCGACGCAGCAGTACATTACTGCCCTTGCATCCGCAACCCCGTCAATACTTATCTATGGAGTATCTTGCTCGATCTTTTCCATTGGAATCTACACTTTGGAACGAGCAAATAGCTTCACAAAGAGGACTGACCAACAGACTAACATTTTTTATCTTTACCTAAGCTTTGTTTACCGTTCAAAAGTGTCTGTAAGGGTCTTAATATATGTTTGACTTTGACTTTTAATTATGGGTACCTAATTTGGATGCATTTTTCCAGAAATTCGATGGAGATGTAATAAATGTCTGTCAGCAGTCAGTTTCACGTATTATCGCACGTGTTTCAACGTTGATAGCAAGTAAAATGAAAAATTTCGTCAAATTCCCCTCAACTACTGATGCAATTAATATTGTAAAGTAAGAACCTTTTTTTTCTAACCATAGTTGACTTACCTTTCTATATGTTAGTATCAAATATATCTTTGTTTTCTTCTTGTTTCAGGCAAAAATTTTACGAAATAGCCCAATTTCCTGAAGTTATTGGATGCATTGATTGCACTCACATTAAAATCAAGAGCCCTGGGGGAGTAACTTCGGATGTATTCAAGAATAGGGAGGGATATTTTTCTATTAAAGTCCAAGCAGTGGCAGGGCCTAATCTCGAATTTTTTGATCTAGTAGCTCGGTGGCCTGGACGTACACATGATAGCATTATTTACAACCACAGCGCAATCAATCATAGATTAAACAATGGCGTGCTAAATGGCATAATTTTAGGAGACAATGCATATACTATTAGCCATACTCTGTTAACACCAATTCGGTCGCCAAATTCAATTGCCCAAGAGAATTATAACAGAAGCCATATTAGAACTAGAAATACTATAGAAAGATGCTTTGGTCTATGGAAACGCAGATTTCCTTGTCTTCAAGTTGGAATGGGTATCAAGATGGATACAGTTGTAGCTGTTATTTGTGCATGTGCAACATTGCATAATATAGCATTGTTGGTTGACGATTTACTGCCAAATAATTGGGACAACATTCATGTTGAAAATGATGACGTTCCTTTAATTGATGAGAAGCCTAACAGTAGTGAGTTTATGGCTCGACAATCGTTGGTTGATAGATTTTTTTCTGAATATTAACTCGATCGACTAATTTTACAAATGTGAAAAAGTACTGAAGGTCTCTTCTTTATGCTTAAATCACTGAATTGATTTGGACGTATTTAGGTAGTTTAGGACTGGAGAAAGAACATAAAATTTTTATAGGTACTGAATATCCATGGGAAAGGGAACTACTTACCTAAATTCCATCTTTGAAAGAATTGACTGACACGTGATGAGTAGATGACATTATTTTAAGAAAAATATAAAATAATAGGTAGGTACAATAATCAAATTAAACTTATTTTATTTCAATTATATAATTGAAGATCGATAAACAAAATGTACAGATGTTGTAAAATCGCGTAACCAAAGATTGCAAACGAAATATCACAATAGAAATCCCAGCACTGTAGACCAACAGAGCCTATAACTATTGATAGGCATGTTCACATCGCCTGGTCCTAAGATCTTCCTTTTTCAAATTTTGAGGGACCTTTACTCTTTGCTCCATAAATATCTGACTTATACGTGATTGGAATCAGGCCTCTTTCCTCGGAGCAGACCAATCATCAATTGAATTGTCATCTCCTGCCCCTCTACGCATCTAACTTTGGAGCACCTCTTCCTTGCCGTGGAAAATCAACCTGCTTAGCTTCACCCGACTGGCATTTAGCAGGCCTCACATCATCAGCCTATAAGTGCCCACTGCTGAGCAAAGGCCTCTTCTCACACGAAGAAAGTTTGAGCATTTCGATTTCAAACTTACAATTAAGTAGAAATTATTACTCCAGGTTTCCTCACGATGTTTTCCTTAACCGTATGTGAGTGGTGTCTAAATTATCACAGAAAGTACCTATAACTCGGAAAAAGTCACATTGGTACTTGCCAGGTTTGCCACCCTCATGCATCAGTGGATTCAAAAAACTAGGGGACTTCACAGTGGCTTTGGCACCTCATATCTCAATCATCGACAGCAGTCTAACAGGGTTGACCTTGAATCCTGGGAGCAATGCTCATTGAAGATCAATAACTATAAAAATCCACCGATGACATCAGAACAGCCCACCAGACCACCTCGCTTGGTCGAAGGATCCAACCATTTCCGATCTCAGAGGATCTTTTTCTTTATAATCCTTTTTTTCAATTTACTACAAAAACTATTTTGCCAGTAATTTCTTTAATTCCTCTAATTCGATTTTAGTTTTTTCTAATAAACATTTATTTCGCTCTTCTTCTAACAATGCAGATTTCTTCTTTATTTGTTCCACTTCCAACTGCAAGAAATAAATAGTATTATACAGTTTAGATCGGTATTGTTCGTCGGACAACTCAGCAGCACTAGCTATACTGGTTGCAAACTGACACTTGCGTGCCTGTCTTCAGAACGGGTCCACTTAAACTGGTGTGGTTCTTTCCTCAAAAGACCACTACAGAATGAACTTGCACGATTCTCTCACATTATGTTATTTTTACATTGTCTGGACTTGAAAAGAGACTGACCTCTGAGTTTGTTTCGGCATTTCTTCTCAGAGTAGTCAGATAGGAAATGCCGGCTTCATCTAGTTTTTCACATATAAATTGACGTGTAAAAGTGCCGTTTTATGGCCTATTTGCAAAAATAAATTCATTGTTTCATTGTTATAATTAGCCATCTATACTTTAGAGGTAAAATTTGTAAGCTTGATGTAGGGGCTAATCTAAAGCGTAAAGTAATAAAGGAGTCAAAGAGAGCCCTCTTGCGTATTTTTTTGGCAAACAAATTTAAAGCGCCCTCTGGATTTTGTAACCAGAAACGAATGCATGCTATATTCATACCTACCTATAGTATAATGTATCACCATATTTATACATAGATTTTGATTTAGCCTGTTTTTAATTCCAGTCAATAAACTGACCCTTAAACCCATACAGTCAAAATATTTTACAGTTGTATAAGATACGGTTTAATTGCCAGGAAGGACTCCGGAATTAAAAAAACAGACAAAACTAATTCAAATTAACAAACATCGTGTGATCTGTCAACATCAAAATTTAAAAGACTTGTGTTGCCATGCTCTCATGTAATGAATTCCCTAATGCGTTAGAACATTGACATAGGAAATATAAGGACTTGAAATACCTACGAAACAAAGGTGCATACCTACAATCCAAAATTTCGCATAAAATGGCTGCCGTTGCTAGGGTTGTGCCGACTAAGTATTTAACGAGTATCGATACAATTTGAGTATAAGTTCTACGTAGGTATATCTTTAGGGATTAGCCAGCTGATTAACGGTATTTTTTTATGGGAAATCATCTAATGTCATCTCCGGCACTTTTCGCGACAGACCGTTACTGACTAAAATCAACTCCTGTTCCTACTTTGCCGTCGGCCTAGCTAGAGCCCGGAACCCGGGGTTACCTAGGTCTCTTGATTGGCTAATGATTTTCTCAAGTCGAATTTGTATCCATATAATTCTACGGAAAGCGTCTTTAAAAAAAAATAAAAAAACATACAATCGAATTGAGAAACTCCTCCTTTTTTTGAAGTCAGTTAAAAAATAGGACTGTGTTTATGAACAGCGTTTAATGGAATGGTAAAATAGAAAAAGATAGTTTTTGTTAAATGTTTATCCGCCGAAATATGGGGCCCCTTAAATGCGTATGTGCAACACCTGTCGGAATTTGTGATGTGCTCGCGCACAATTTCGGCTCGTCTGATTAAGCGATGATATCTTCGAAACTACATTAGCATAAAATAGATAAGAAGTGAAGTCAATCTTACTGTATGTATCTCACTTTTTATTATTAAGCTTAGTGGTCGCACTGGGATCGCCGCCAACGCTGCTCTGTCAATCGGGCCCGGATAGTTATAAAACATGACAATTTGAACTTCTACTTATGTAACTAAAACCAATACCAAAATACTGACGTCTTACTTTAGCCTTACACAAAATAGATTATTTAGGATAATATATTATGTTGAATTTTAAATGGGAGATTATATCGATACTTTTGTGGAATGGTACGTAACTATGCCATATTGACATATTATTGTAAACAACAATTTTTTACTTAAACTGTCTCACAGACAGAAATAGAAGTAAATATATATACTTTGGCAATAGATTCAAGTATCCGTAACATTTTTTCTATCTATGTGGATTATTTTAAGTAATATTTGATGAAAACTGTTTACTAACCTATGCAAAGACAATTTAGGTTGATTTTCGTTCTTTTTTGCACCACACTGCACAATACAACACACAGGCATATTGTATTTTTGTTTCACTATATATCTTTGCAGTTTAAAACAATGGTTCTTTGTAATTTACTGGAAAACCGCAATAATTTAAAACATAAACAACCGTTTGACAGCACAACTACCATGAAACTCAGGTACTCTGAGCGCTTAAGATGGCGGACATGGCACTTACCTACAACTTTGCTAATGTCAAAATGATTTGTTGCCATAATAAGCAACAACTTAAATATTGTTGTCCCTTTTGTCTAATACAATTATTGCCTAAGAAAGAGTGAGAAAAAACTATATTTAATAGTTTGTTTCATATTTAACCCATATTTGTATAAGCGGGTATACATCTATAATAACAGGGCGCCTCTATATATTTTCTATCTCAATGCGTTAGAATGATTAACGACTGTCATCCAAAAAATTATAGTAACAGTCACCTATTAACTAAAAATAAAAGTTATTAGTTAATTGATACACTTTAAATATATTTATAAGCGTTATTTAAATTCACATGACTGGTTATGTATATCCATTATTGAAGCAGTTTTTTAGATCTGCAGCAACAGAACAGTGACATCTATTGTGATATGTAGTCACTTAACAAGACATTGAGTATGTCTTAGTTATAAATATAAGATGGCACCTCTATCTTTGCGATCTTGGTGGATGTAGGGCAGTGTCCCCCTCTGGGCTAATCTTTGGAACCGCTGGTCGGATTTCCAAATAAGTATTCTTTCACTGATAGCAATAGCACTCGGGAACATCGTAGCTATCTTCGATGTTCCCGAGTGCTATTCAAACTAATATTATAAATCCGAAAGTAACTCTGTCTGTCTGTCTTTTCTGCACACCTTACTGAACCTATTAGAGTGAAATTTGGTTCAGACATCGTTTGGAACTCGAGAGAGGACATTATTTCATTGATTGAAAGCTACAATGTTCCTGAGTGCTTTAGGCTATAAAACATCACCCCACGACCAATAGCAGCCAAGCAGCGGGTGATACAGCGCGACAGTAGCTAGTCTTTAAATAAAACATTAATTGTTGAAAATACCTGTGTTTTTAATATTTCAATGTCTAATTTTTTCTTAATTTCCAAATGTTTTATTCTCATTACAGCCTCTCGACGGATGTAGTCCATAGGTCTGCGTGTTCGATTAGTCGATTCCTTTGGTTGTGTATTTTTTTTACTGTTGCTGTAATCTAAAAGTTTTTATATAAAGTTATTTTAATACAATAAAATAATTTAGAACCTTAAATCAGGTATTTTTTTCATTTTTATAATTGAGTGAGGGAGAGCCAAGCTTCGGCACGAAAGGGTCTGCTCAAACAACCACAGCGTTGTGTTTCGCCGTGCGAGTGAGGTAATCGGAGGCCTAATCCTTACCCTCCCCAATCCTTAAATTTCCGAAACCCCTAATCCCTAAAAGGCCGTCAAAGCATTCATACCTTTATTCATTCATACATTCGTTCCCACTCTTCTGGCATTGCATGTTTCTATGGTATCCTATTGCTAACGATCGCAATCCGTCTGTTCGTTTACCGACTTATCACACAAAAAATACCTTTGCAATCTTCTTTATCTTCAATTTGATAGGTTTCTTTATCTTCAACCGTTAAGTTTTCTGGAGAATTGTTTTTATACTGAACATGAACGCAGTCAATGCTATAAATATCTGAAAGAAAAAATTGATCTGGTAACATTAGAGTGTAGGGGATTTTTTTTTTTGTTCTAGTCACACTGTTGGCTGGGCAACTGGCTGCTGCGATTCGACTCTCGCAAGGAAAAACACTGTGTGATCTACAAACTGTTGTTTCAGATCTAGGTGGATTATGTATGTGGATTTGTCAAGTATGTTTGTAAAGGCATCCACAACACAGGAGAAAAACCTAGTGTGCAGCAATATTATTTTTAAACATGCAAAACTACTTATCCTAATTATAGGCTGTTCTGTTATCAAAAAATATCCCCAAATTATATTTTAATTACACTATTTCCCTTTACTATCGATATACCTACTAATTACATTAGTTTTTTTAAATAACATTGAGAAGAAAAGGCACACTGAAAATATTCTTGCTGTTTAAACTTAAAAAAATGCATGAATTTGTTTGGGTTCCCATCCCACTGCAGTGTTGAGTACAAACATGATGCATCATTATTGGTTCCCACTTAATTCTCTACCTTCTTTTCAAAGGGTAGAAATTATCAAAAGACTTCTACCAAGGTAGTATCATAGTCTTACAGACTGAAAATCACACTGTTCCTTCTCCTGCCAAGAGCCAGGGCCAAGGAGACGGTAACCTTAATTGTTGTTCCAGGTCTAGGTGTGATGTTTATGTGAAATTGTATGTTTGTAAATACACCCACAACACAGGAGAAAATCCTAGTGTTGCTTAGGGCAAAGTTTTTTAACAAAAGAGAAAAAAGAATTGCCTACCTAAGTTATCAAAATCTTCTAGAACCTCTTCCTCCTTATTGTTTTTGACTGTATTCAATGTTGTGCTATCACTGTCATGTGGATTGTTAATTTCAGACATTGTCATTGGAGGCACCTGATGAATGAAAAGTGAAAATTAGAAGACAATACCTTTAGTCTATTGGTTTAGATGGTTTACTAAAGGTAAACAATGTTTTTATATATTCTAATATATAAAAACATTGTAATCTAAAATACATATAAAAATTATTTTAAATTAGTTTATTTGCTAACATCTATCTTCATAAAATTTTTAGATAAAAAGATATGCCAAGATTGTCTACATATAGTTAATTATCTAAACCAATAGACTGTAGTATATTTAAAACAAGGAAACTGACCCACAGCCAAGGAATTCAAAGTAGTTAATAAGAGCAACCAACCTCCTTGGCCATACTTAAAATGGGCCCTGGTTGTGGTGACAGAGGAGGAACATTGGGCCTTTCTGTAGCATAAGATTTACGAATGACCGCTTTCATATTATCCCATGCCCGTTTCAATGTAATAGTTTCACGCTGAAATAAATGCAGTGGTTATAAAAAATATCATGTATTGTCAATGGAAAAGAGAGTTAAGCCCTGATTGGAGAAGGGAGTGAAGTTCCATTGCCATTCAAGTTTTGAGTTAGCTTCTTTTCACAGACAAATAGGAGATCAACATTAGTCTTTAAGTGCCCACTGTTCAATCACCTCGTACAGGGAGAGAGTATGAGCATTAACCAAGCTTGTTCAAAATGGATTTGAAATGTATACTTTTAGGTTGACTTTAAAGCTTTATTTAGAAATTTTGAGTCCACGTTGCCTCGCGATGTCATCCTTCACTGCTTGTCGTTGATTGGTACCTACTGCCAAGTTTTGAACCTGCACCTTCATACATGAAAAGCGAACAGCTTACGCTCCAGGCCACGACGACTATAACTTATAACAGTAGAAAAAAAATATAAGGTCCTTTTTTTGAAGTCCGATAATGATATCAAATAAAACTACTATGCTTCTCCGCGTATCTTGACTGAGTATAGGTGCCGATAAATTAAACTATTTATTTTATCAATAATTCGCCATCCTACCTTATGTACATTGGAATTAGAATTAAATTCTTTTGTGATTAACGCCCAGGCCGCGTTTTTTTTGACGACTGATTTACCGTCTGTAGCTTTTGATTCCACTATTGGTTGACTTTTTATTAATTTAGCCAACAATGCTTTTTCGTGGGCTGTGAAGTTGGCTACTCTTTTGCGAGGAGTTTTCGTTTCTTGATACTCCTAAAATGAAAAAGAAACACGAAAGAGTTTTTAAAAAAATGTGTCATCGATCGGCTGATACACTCTAAATCCAATATCTAAATGTACTTCGAATAATATTTACCATGTTATATTTTTAAAGTTGTCAGCACTTAATTAGTATTCACAATATCAAATTATCAACCACAACAAATAGCATTACTTAATAGCAACACGAAAATCCGATGCGCGACTCTTCAATCACTGACAGTTTTATTACTTTTTTTTCAATGAATGTTAACAATACCTAAGAATTAAACTCAGAATACAGTCTGTATTCTGAGGAATTAAAAAAGCCTATTACTTTATTTTTAATAATCAATGAAACCAATAAAGATGACTCTGTGATGTATCCTTCATTATCTATTTAAATGATATTTAGTAAAGTACAATTAAGTCCTAATTTAATTAATGACTCTGAGTGCAGCACAGGCGTTGACTAAGTAAGTATGTATTTTTGTACATGTAGAAAATAGTGTTTGTAAACTCTTTGTTTGAATCGTAGACACTCTAGTATATTACTATAATCTATGCGTAGACAGAGAATAATTCTCTGTCTACGGTTTGAATAATTGATTTTGATTTTGACATCGATACCGACTGAGTTACATTTTTAGAGAAAATTCAGAGGTGTCTCAGTAAAGATAGTACATATTGTTGTCTTTAGAAATGGTATATAAATATAAATATAATATAAATATGGTGACTACTTTTTTTATAACTTTGTGAGAAAATATTAAATCATAAAAAAGAAAAATAATAGAAAAGAAATAAATCTCTTTGGAATATAATTATTCTTTATCAAAACTTAGAGAATTTTTTAAGTAATTTTTTTATTACATATTTGTTGTAAATTAATTTGATAAATGACAGACTTTAAGAACCTGGAACCGGCAAAAAAAATTAATAAGGCTTAGTTAGGCTTAGTTAGCCTTATTCATTTTGGTTTACTTTTAATAATAATAATTAATAATTGTAATTGAAAAATTTAAAATCAATGTTTTTTGTAATCTATATCTCGTTTGGCTGTATATGATTTTTCTGTGCGTCAACTCACTACGGTTTGCGTAAAAAAGTCAAAATAAAACAGCACGCTGCCAACCATAGACAAAAGAGGGAGGAAGTTTGTGAATGATCGATTTTACGCCGGCCTCCTGAACCTCTCAACGACATTTTTCTTTGTTTGCCGTAACGCGTGTGGACAATATCAACTGTAGCCGTGAATCCGCGAACACATCAATAAAATGGCGAACACGTTTCGCGCGGTTACGGTGTCGAGGGTGAGTGGCGAGGGCGCACTCACAGCGCGCTTCAACTTTCCTACAAACGTAAACGTGGATTACGACCCGCAAGGGCTGAGTGTAAAAGTGATTCGTGCGGACCCGGTGCTGGCACAGGAGGAGCTCGAGTTCCCCGTGCACAGTCAAAGTGAGTGTGCGCGAGTCGCAGGCCAATCGTACATATTCACGATCGACAATGAAACGCTATTCTTCAAGTTCGCATCTGACGCCGACTGTCAAGCCTTCCACCTGCTCGTTACAAAGACGAAGGCAGGCAGGTCTTCTTCGGTGTTTACGGTGCGTACGGAGGATTCGTCGGCGATGCAGTACTTCCAGTTTTATGGTTACTTGAGCCAGCAGCAGAACATGATGCAAGACTACGTGCGGACTAGCACGTACCAGCGCGCCATACTATCGAACATCAACGACTTCAAGAATAAAGTAGTTTTAGACGTAGGAGCAGGCTCAGGTATTCTCTCATTTTTCGCTGCACAAGCGGGAGCTCGCAAAGTGTACGCGGTGGAAGCCAGCAACATGGCTCACCACGCGCAGGCGTTAGTGCGGGACAATGGTCTCGAAGATCGCATCACTGTAGTTGCGGGCAAGATTGAAGAAATCGAGCTCCCAGAGAGTGTAGACGTAATAATTTCGGAGCCTATGGGCTACATGTTATACAATGAACGTATGTTAGAGACATATCTGCACGCTAAGAAGTGGCTGAAGCCAAATGGTAACATGTACCCCACGAGAGGAGACCTGCACATAGCACCCTTTACTGATGATGCTCTGTTTATGGAACAATACAACAAAGCCAACTTCTGGTACCAGACATGCTTCCATGGTGTAGACTTGAGTGCATTGCGCACTGCAGCCATGAAGGAGTACTTTAGACAGCCAATTGTAGATACATTTGATATTCGTATTTGTATGGCTCGATCAGAACGACATGTTGTAGATTTCTTGAATGCTCATGAGACGGACTTACATAGAATTGAAATTCCATTTAGGTTTGAGCTCACACAGTCGGGTACGTGCCACGGGTTGGCTTTTTGGTTCGATGTTTTGTTTGCTGGTGCTACGCAACATATTTGGTTGTCAACTGCACCTACGGAGCCACTGACGCATTGGTATCAGGTCCGATGCCTTTTAGAGACACCTATTTTTGCTAAACAAGGCCAGGCACTCACAGGCCGCGTATTGCTACTTGCTAATAAACGCCAGAGTTATGATGTTACCATGGAGATCAATCTAGAAGGCACAAATATCACATCATCCAATACCCTGGATCTCAAAAACCCATACTTTAGATATACGGGCGCGCCGGCGGCTCCCCCACCAGGCGTGAACAGCAGCTCACCTAGTGAGACATACTGGAACTCTATAGAAACAACTGCTTCATTGAGCAATGGACAAGGAGTGATGCTAACTGATGGAACCCAGCAGTACTGCTCTACACCTGACCAGACCATAGCTTATGGAACACATCCTAACATGATCAAAACAGTAATGCTGCAGGAGGAGTTCATCAAGAGGATCGGGATAAGTCAAAATGGGGACATATAATCCGAGAGGTCGCGCCGAGCGCGCCTTAGGGCAATAAGGAACCGCCGTAATCGGTTGTGAACTATCTTCCGTTCAGACTTTATAGTGTGTAAGCAGACTTATTTATTATAATACATCACAGTGACACAATCATGTACCTAGAGACTCTGCTGGCCTTGTAAATTAAGTAAAAAGTGAAATGGTAATCAAAGGCAATAAGTTTAAGCCTTCTCTGTGAATTGTTTAGTTTTTGGCGGAACCAACGCTTATTAGTGTAATTTAACACACATAGAAATTCTGATGTAAATATTCTATATTGGGAAGCGAATCGGCGAGACTGGCCAGGCTGACCGTCTCTCGAGCAAGGCAGCTCTGCGGCTAGAAATTGTACTATTAATTTAGTCCAAGTACATTTAGGATAAGCAATAAGTGCTGAATTTGAATGATAATGCTTATCATTGTCAATACTCATTTATCATTATTGGAGTCAGGCTCAATCATTAGTTAAGTAGACGCAGCCAGTGTTAACCAGTCCAGTGATACCTTCTGTCTGCCAGTCAACTCTAGAGATTGCGATTTATGAAAATTTACTTCTGTCAAATATTTTTATACACTGCACTTTAGCCATAGAATGTATAAAAATCCTTTTTGTAAATATAGGATAAAGTGATCAATTCTTTTTCTGGAACATTGATATTGAGCAAACAATCAGTATTGAATATGTTCTTATTACTTGATAATGTTATCAAACTTTATACTTTAAGACTTAAAACAAGTAATATGGGTCAGGATCTGCTATTTTTCATTGTAGTAACATTGGTGCTTGATCCTTAATTGCACAAAAATAGATCAGACAACATGACTACCTCATGATTTGGCAGACAATTGGATCTCTAAAATGTGTACCGAGATTGCAAGCAAAGTCATTTTGTTAACTTATGAACATAAGCAATTTACATTGGACACCAAAATAAGTTAGATAAATAAACCATACTTAGTTAGTCATGAGTTTGCTTGCAAAACTCATAGCTTAGAAAATAACATGACAATTTTATATCATGAAGATCACATTGAGTTGCCATAAATAGCTCTGGTTAGAAGTGGAATGAAACATGTTCAGCAATAATAAATAGACTGAAATATAAATAAATAATTAATCATTAAATAATATGTATGTAAAACACAATTATGTAAGAAATAATATTTTCATGCATGTACAATAAATAAATGCTGGCTTGTCTGGACGCCCACAAATAAATTCTTGATGATTTTGAATTGATTTTGGACTTATTACCAGTGCAAGAGGATTGAATATTATTGATTTTCTGTAAACCCAAAATTCTCGATAATAACAGTGGTAATTAATATACCAGTCTAGGAGTAATTTTTCTTGGATATACGAAAACCTATTAAATAGTTTTATGAAGTGATAATTAAGGTACAGTCAGTATCCACTATATTGGGACATTCAGAGACTTGTATAGATGCACATAAACCACCAAAATATCGATACAACAGAGTCACCAGGTTTACTCAAAGCGTCATAAATATGGGTACAGTTTAACTGGAAAACATTAGGAAAACGAAGTTTAATAACATAGATTTTAAGTATTAGGTACGTCACTCGTCTATTATTACAGAAGTGTTTGGCCATTGTCCTTTTCATTTTGAGCATAACTTCATTGGCGTGTGTTTTGTTTTATAAAGTATTTCGTGCCCAACCGTTTACAATATACTTATTTACTTACCTACCTATCTGTATTGTAAGCAATGAGCAGTGAACTGAAAATACTTATCAGCTGTAGACCTTATACATATAATATGAGTTTTTTAAGTTTAAGTTGTCGCTATGCGTGACTTTATTGGACTTGGACCAATATTTTGATAGTTTGTCTGCGTCTCATTGAGTGCCCTGAATGTCCCTATATATTTGACGCTGACTGTATGTTATTCAGTGACTAGCAAGCTTAGTGTAATTATCATCTTCCATTAGTGCCTAAACAGTTCATTCCTCTTGTATTCAGAGCGATATTTTTTTTCACGTTCGATATTCTGGCAACATCATAACGTAAGTATCGCGCGGGCGGGGTGATAAAATCGTAAGTGCTTTCAATGTATTGTAGGTTCATCTATATGACTAGGTGCTTAAAAGGCGCTATATAATTAATATAAGTTAATATTAACAATCGTTTTTAAATCGGGACTTGAATAAGAGACAGATTTGTACTAATATTTAAAGTTCAAAGTAAAAAGGCGGGAAAATATGACAGTACATGAATAAAAAAGTTTTTTTTAAATATCGCCTTAGTATAATGGCGCATCGACCCCGTCC